CCGAGTCTGAGTCCGAGTCCGGAGCCTGAGAGGGTGAAAGCCCAAAGCGTTCGTCTCCCAGACCCTGGGGGGTTTGGTGAGCTCCAAAAGTATAGTAGGGGGAGGACTGCAGTGGAGCCAGTTTGGCCAGGAAAGGCCAGTTTGGCCCAGGAAGGCTGGACCCAGTGTTGGGTGATGAGCTGCCCACTGGGAAGTCCAAGACTAGAGTGAACACGGACCGACAAGCGGGGTAGCTTGGTGAAGTGTTCAAGAGCCGGCTCTAGTTCCCCCGGGAGATCGACTGGCCGATGCTCCCAGTCCAAGTGTGGGTGGCACTACCTACTTGGATACCTGGTGTGGCTCAACGGAACCCGCTCTAAGCCCATGGCTAGAGCACCCAAGGGCAGAAGGCGAGGAGAGTACCCAGGTGGCTCGCGTAAGGCCACGGTGTTCCAAAATGTTGTCCCAAAGGCCCAGACTGTGGAAAGGAAGAGGAGCAGTCCTCTGGGGTAGTGACCAAGGACACAGTCGTGTGGTGAGGAAGTCCCAGAGGACCGTGGGACTTAGTGGTCGGGCCTGTGGGTCTCGATCCAGTGGCAGTGTTGGCAAACACGGCCAGGGGCAGAAAGGGACTTAGTGGGGACTGACAGAGGGATATTGGGGAAGGCTATTCCCCTTGTCGGTGGGCATCCTAAGGATGCTAAAGAGTGGATCTGAGATGACCACTCACGGATGGTTTGCCTAGTCTTGGAGAGCCAAGGCGGTGATGCAAGTGGTATTGGACTACCAGTGTGGCAAAGGTGATTGGGCATGGCCTTAGCGTAACGGGCTGCTATGTCGGTGGTACCTTTGAGTGTCGGTCGTGGGATCAGACACGTGGAGCACTTGGACCAAGTGCAAATGTTGAGTGGCAAGGATGCCATTCTCAGGGCTAGCAAGTCCCAAGTCCTGGATTGGACTTATGGAGGTTGTGAATGAGACTCCTCCAAGTGGTCAGAGGTGTGGTTAAGTGACTAAAGTAGAATGGAAAATTTAGTCGCTTACAGGTACCACAAGACTTGATCATGGGACCCTCTAAATCCCAAGCCTTGGGTGCAGCACTTGCTTCGGGACGTCGGGGCGAAACACCGTGGCCTAACGGCCCGGTATGGGTACCTCTACCCCCCCTCTTCCATCCCGAAGGGAAGGCCCAAGCCCCCGGAAGGGCGAGGACCAATGAGCCACAAGGTACTCAAGTGGGGCACCACTCCACCTGAGCTGGGAGCACCGCAGTCGGTTTCCCTTTCGGGAGTGGGAGTTGCTCTTGAGCACTTCCTTGGATGGCCCCTCCGGCACCAGCCAAGTCCATGCTCACTCCCACCCAAGGCCCCTCGGTCCCAGTCTCAACCTCAAGTCGGTTTAGAAGCCCAACTGGAGAGTCCCTTCAAAACTGGTTCCTGGACCTCACTATCCCTACTATACTTTTGGAACCCCCTGCAGCCCCCCCCCCCCCCCCCCCCTGGGAGACGCACGCTTTGGGCTTTCACCCCTTGACCCGTATTAGTATTTGGACTTAGTCTCTGGCTCGATCTCGGACCCGATTTCTGATCCGACTTCGGATTCGGTCTCGGACTCGATTTTGGACTCGATCTTGGACCCGATCTTGGACCCGACCTCGGACTCGACCTCGGACTCGACCTCGGACTCGTCTCGGACCCGATTTCGGATCTCGGACTCTGTCTCGAACTCGGTCTCGAACTCGGACTCGAACTCGGTCCCCGAGTCGGTCTCGGACTCGATTTCGGACTCTATCTCGAACTCGGTCCTAGAGTCGGTCTTGGACTCGATCCTCGACTTGGTCCCATCCAATGAACTCTTTGTCATTTCGGTCAAGCTTTTGGGGATCCTTTAGCCTATGACATCTCGGGGAGTCGGTTCCTTACACTTCTCTCAAGCTGCTCTTCTTCACTCTCTTCTCATGAGCCTATTGTTCTAACATCTGTAGAAGAAGATTCCATGCCATCAATAATTGTTATACTTGATGTTTAGTGTCCACAAGATGTAGAGCAAGATTTACCTTCCCTTGACGAGGTTCATGAAGCTTAAAAGATTAAGCCATGGATTTGAAAGCTTCATGATAGATTTGAGAATATTGCATTATTTATTAATGACTTGCCATTTCAATATTTACTTTCTTAATATCACTTTGAGAACAATCTTCTTTATTTTGTGGGGACGGATCCCGATGATCATTTACGGCTAGTGGTGCCTTTGATTTTTATTCCACACTTTCTTTATACTTACATGATTCTCCTATTCTAAGCAGGCATATAGAACATTGTTGTATGATTAAGAAGTTGTATAGATCTTTCTATTAGTTGGAAATTGCTCCAATACCAATGTTAAGATCTTATCCCTTACATCCTAAACCAAGCTAACTAACTAAAGGGGTGATTACTTGATTGCAAGGCTTTTTCTTTATCCTATTATCTTGACCTAGTGCCTAACAATCCTCCCCTCGTTAGGCAATGATTGTCCTTCTCTTAGGGTCTACCAAACCTTGGTTCTCCCTCTAAATCCACCATATTGAATATTCCTTTAGAATATTCTTGCCCCACTTGTTGAGAATCAAAATAGGCTCCGATACCAATGTTAGAATCCTATCCCTTACATCCTTTAGCTAGTTGGCTTAGGGTGTAAGGAATAGGATCTTAACATTGGCAATATAATGTTATTTAGTATATGCATAATTGCATTTGGTGCCAAGTTTATAATATTCCCCCTCTTGTTGCAAAAGGACAGTTGGAGTCAATTGTAATTCCTGTCTATTTGAGTTGGTGACATTTTATATTATGGGGCCTTTTTCATGATTAACTACTAGCAATGAATATGTCATTATTACTTTTAACTATTTGACTTACTAGGTGGAAGTCAGTGCATTTGCTAGCACATTTGCAACTACTATTGAATATTTCCTCCTCAATTGAGTGGTGTTTTAATATTTCTATCTGGAGTGGATTTTTTTGGATAATGATCTTGCATTTATAAGTGAGGCATTTCATATTTTTATGTCTTAGTTGGAGATACGACACACTTTTACGAGTGCTTATCATTCACAGTCAAATGGTTTGGTGGAATAGCTTGTTTAAACTTTCAAAGGGATGATCGTAAAGTATATGAACTTTCAACATTCGAATTGAGATAGTTATTTATTATCTCTTCGGTATGCATATATCAGAAAGGTGCAGAGTTCTATTAATGCTTCACTATATAAACTCATATATGGTCATGATTTAATACTTCTAACAGAGTTGGGTTTACCTTTGCAATTGCCACAAGTTGCTAATGTTAGGTTATGAAATTAGTATTTGATGAGCATTCTTCCACTTGTTTGAGTAGAGTCTACCAAACACTTAAGCCACATACAAGTGGGACAACAACAGTACTATAACTTTTATCATTATTGCAACGCACTTTATCTCTCTCCCTTTAAGCTAACTAGAAAAGGGGCAATTGCTTGATAAAAGAGCTTTTAGTGGTTATTTTATCCTTATTTATCTCTCATAAGAATCCACGGTAACAGTATATCCAAATCTCATCTTATGATCACATACACTACACTCACCGATGTTAGTGTCTTCATTGACTATTGACTAACAACCTATATTGAGCCAAAGGGAACTAACACCTCCATTTCTACACAACACCTCCATTTCTACACTTAATCTACCAATCCTTCTATTGTGTAGACCAATTATTCCATATGAAACAATTAATCATCCACCCATACCGCAATCCCACGGTGGATACCTTTATCCGTGGATACTTCACAGAAGAGGAAGAACATATACATAGATGCCCAATACATACAATTTTAAATTTAGGAGTAGGAATATATCTTGCTTAAGGATATATTATATTTTTAAGTAGCCACTAATCAATGGGAATCGAACCCATTTGCTCTGATACCAACTGTAGCACACCTTATCTCTCTCCCCTTAAGCCAACTCTAGTTATTTCCTTATTAAAATAATTTCTCTAGTGATTTATTCATTAGGAAAGAAAAAAGCCTTTGATATAAATTAGTTGTAGCACAACCATGCTAAGTATGAATTTGAATATTCTCCTCATTATCTTATACTAAGTTTATATTATATAAGCTAAAACAATCTTGTAAAAAAAAATTATACCTAGCTTTTTTAATATTTAGGAAAGATGAGTAATTAAACATGTAGTAAATGATTATATATAGTTTTAGTACTAAAACTATAACTCTTTAAAACTAGTAGTTTATACTATTATCTAGAATCATAATTTTTTATATATATTCATTTATATATATATTTTTATATATATATATATTCTAGAATGTTTTGCCAATTTATAACTATTTTGCCAATGTCTAAAACCCAAAAATTCAATTGAACTCTAAATAAGAAAACATATTGAAATGTGGACTTGTAATTTCAAGTAAAAGCAAACCAGAAAGTTTGCTTGCTGGCTGCTGCAACCTCCATCATTCCGTACACAAATGCGGCATGGGCCAGTGTAGGCCAGCCAGACCCATCCATGTCCCCCTGTCCTCTTCACCATGGCATGTTCGCATGATATGCGGCACGCCCCCTGCCACGTGTCAGGCATGGTGCCGCCACCCGACATTACATCACTGACATTCTCACGTGCAGGGGGCAACAAGATTCCCCCGGACCGCCACCTTTTTCCATTTAGGGCTAGATTAGAGCTCCGCCTTCCGAAGTTGATGGGTTCTTTTGCGCTTAAAATACAATGGCGGAGGGAAAAGGTATAAAACATCGAGCACAATGCAATCGAGTGGTATGGGCTGGGAATATACCCACACGCACACGGGGAATAATTTTCTCTTGCGGGTTGATTACACGTAATTATGGGCTGTGGAGCACGCCTGACTGTTCTCTGGAACTTTAGTGTGTAGTGTAGGTGGGTATCTCTACTGTGCAAATACATCTAAGCGTTCTTGGTGGAGTGGGCTTTGATATTTTCTTTTTTCTAAAGCCGTGGAAGTAAAGGAGCGACTCTAGTTTATTGCGTATAGAGTTTTATATGGTTTTGGTCGTAGAAAATTGCAACTATATATAAATTTAGTGTGAGCGCTGTAGTGTGCTTGATGATGGATTGGGGGACAGCGTGTGGTAGCTTTTGGGGCGTTGAGCTTCTTCGCCGCAACCGTCTTCTTCCATTTGATTCGCTCCTCGCATCGTCTCGCTAGTTTTTAGCAGCGTTTTCTCCCACTTTTTTTTTCACGTCCTTGTTCTTCTTTTTCTACTTGGATGGAATCCAATTGCGCTGCTAACGAGCTGCTCGTTGGAGGAAGCGACGCGAGCTCCTGGGAGGGAGCAAGCAAGCGCAAGCACGAGAGCGAGGCAGTCAGGAGTGGTAGTCAGTCGTTTTGCTCTTCTCGAGTTCCTTCTTCCCGAGAAATCTAAGGAATGATTCGAAAGCTTACTTGGAGTGGAGAGAAGTCGCCGGATTGGACGAGAGTTCCTTTTCTTTCCTCTTCTCAGCTTCTGTAGAAGATCGAGCGACCGAGTCGTAGAGCGAGCGAGTGTCAAGAAATTTCCTGCTCAAAGAGCACTGGTAAGTAAGCGCAAAGAAGAAGAAGATCCGAAGGAAGAAAAGAGAAGAACCTTTCACGATGATCAGCGCGCACGACTTCTATGTGGTGATGAGCGCCGTGGTGCCGCTCTACGTCGCAATGATCCTGGCCTACGGCTCAGTCCGGTGGTGGAAGATCCTCACTCCGGATCAATGCGGCGGCATCAATCGCTTCGTGGCGATCTTCGCGGTCCCACTCCTCTCCTTCCAGATTCTCGCCACCAACAATCCTTACAAGATGAACGCGCAGTTCATCGCCGCCGACGTCCTCCAGAAGCTGGCCATTCTCGCGGTTCTTCTCGTCTGGTGCCGCTACTCCAGCAATGGAAGCATGGAGTGGACTATCACTCTCTTCATGCTGGCCACGCTTCCCAACACTCTGGTCATGGGGATCCCTTTGCTCGCAGCGATGTATGGGACCGAGTCTGGAAGTCTCGTCGTCCAGGCAGTGGTCCTCCAATGCATCATCTGGTACACGCTGCTGCTCGTCTTCTACGAGTACCGCAGTGCCAGGAACCTCATCCGGGACCAGTTCCCCAAGACCGCTGCGTCCATCGTTTCCTTCAAAGTCGACTCGGACGTAGTCTCTCTGGATGGAAACCGAGAGCCCATCCAGGCCGACGCGGAGATTGGTGACGACGGTAAGATTCACGTCACTGTGCGGCGCTCCACTGCTTCCAGGCACGACCTCTATCCTCCTTCTCCCATCGCGTCCTCGAAAGCTCTCACGCCGCGGCCTTCCAATCTCACCGGAGCTGACATCTACTCTATCCACTCCTCGAGGAACATGACCCCGCGGGAGTCCAGCTTCAACCACGCCGAGTACTACTCCATGATGATGATGATGCCGGCTTTCAACAATCCACCACCACCGCCACCGCCGCCGCCACCTCGCCACTCGAGCTTCACTGCCTCGGATATCTACTCGCTCCATTCTTCCAGGGGGCCGACGCCGAGAACTTCCAACTTTAACATCGAAGAGCAGCACCGACCGTCGACAAAGTCTGCTCCTCCACCGTCTCGGATGATTCCTCCTCCTGTTCCTGCTCCACCCCCTGCCCCTGCTCCTCTAGCTCCAGCTCCAGTTCTCAATGCTGCTGCCAGCAAGAACGACCTCGTCCATATGTTCGTGTGGAGTTCCAGCGGCTCTCCAATTTCCGAAGGCAATGTCCGAATGCTCAACGATGACTTCCGCTCCAACAATAACAAGGACGTCCGGCTTCTCGTAGGTGACGATGACGATTGTAAGTTTCCAAAGTTTTCGTTTTTCGCGCACCACCATAGCCGACTGATGGCCTGTGCTCTGTTTTTCTCTCCTGTCCGGTGTTTATGTCCATCTCCAGCAACAGCAACAGCAGCGTCCGGAGCTCCTCATGACTTTAGCTTCGGTCACGCTGGAGGAGTGGACGAGGGCAACAGCAGCACCAACATTCCTGCTCGAAATTCCAGCTCCGGCTTGGAAATGCCTCCGAAGAACAGCAGCAACCTCGCGGACGATCAGCCGACCGAGATGCCCTCTGTTGGTGTCATGACCCGGCTCATCGTGGACATGGTGTGGAGAAAGCTGATCCGCAATCCCAACACGTACTCCAGCTTGCTCGGCCTCGGCTGGGCTCTCGTCGCCTACAAGTAAGTGCAAAGTTTCTTCCACTTCGTTGCTCATCCTTCCGTCTCTTGTCGCTGTTTCTGGAAGGTGGCACGTCAGGATGCCGGCTATCATCGACAACTCCATCCAAATCTTATCCAAGGCCGGACTCGGAATGGCCATGTTCAGCTTAGGTACTGGCTCTCTTCTCTTTCACCCTGCTGTGGTTTTCCATCCTGCGAGCTTGTTTGATCGAGGGAGTATCTTCTCTTGGTTTTGTTGCAGGCCTGTTCATGGCATTGCAGAAGCGCATTCTGGTGTGTGGCACATCAATGGCGTTGTTCGGGATGGTGGTACGCTTTGTAACAGGCCCTGCGGTAATGGCAGCAACTTCCATAGCTGTCGGCCTCAAAGGTGTCAATCTCCACGTCTCTATAGTACAGGTATACCCCCGTTTCCATCCTTCCAGCACAGCTTCCACTTCTCCTTCCTTCTTCGAAAAGTAGCTCTCCATCTCTCTTCCAAGTTCCGTTGTCTTTCCTCGTTCTTCGCTCTTCCAAGTCGTGTTCTTCTCTAGCTGGCCCGCTTCTCGCTGCCTCCATGTCTGTCTTCTCGTCTAGCCCGCTAACTCTTGACTTGGATTTTCGGAAAAACAACGCTTTCAGGCCTCGCTTCCCCAAGGCATTGTCCCATTCGTCTTCGCGAAGGAGTACAACGTGCATCCAGACGTCCTCAGCACAGCGTACGTACTTTCTCTTTTCCTCCTCCCTCCCTTCTCTGTGCCCCCCCGCACCACACACACTGTGTGTGCATTCAATTCTCTCTCAACTCACACTGCCCGCCTGTTGCATCCGTGTGTACCTCTCTGCCAGGGTGATATTCGGCATGCTGGTGGCCTTTCCCATCACAATGCTCTACTACGTGCTCCTGGGCCTGTGAGGGAGAGTGGCGTGAATTCATCACCTCCAAACATTTCTCTCAACTTCTCAACCGATCGCTGCTTTACTGCCGCTGCTGCTGTTGTAAGTGTCTGCCGACTATAACTTACGGACGATCGATGGAGCTGGCTGGCTGGTTGGCCGCTTTGGCTGGCTCCAGCTCGATTCAACTTGTTTTCAGCCCAAGAGTTGAAGGAGCTGCTGGTGTCCGACTCATATTCACCCCCCGTGGTGTCTGCTATAAGTTTTGTTGGAGCGAGCACCAACTGGAGATCCAAGTAGCTAGCTAGAAAACAACCGTCCTTGTGTCTGCTTGTAGCTAGTAGCAAAGCATGGCCCCCTGCTGCCTCCCTTGTACTGGCTGGCTGGCGGATGGGCCGTCTGGAAATTTTTTGAGCTCTGTAGACTTCAAAAAAGTATAACAACAAACCCACCGGAGTGCGTGCTGCGAAGCGATTCCTTCTTCCCCTTCCTCCTCTTTTCCCAGAGAAACAACTGTCAATCAGTCCTCGTATTCATCCTTCCAGCCAATACTCTCGTAAAGCGAGGCGCTCGAGGATGCTTGCAGGCCCTTGGCAACAGGAGACATGTTACGGCGCGGTTGTCGGCTGCGGAAGTAATTCCCGAGGCAGCCGTTCACCACTCGTGGGGCAAAGCCATCGCAAAATCTCTTGGCAAGCTCCACGGCCTGGATAAACATCAAGGAAAGTTTATAAAAATCAGAGTGAGTGAGCGGCATGAGTTTATAAAGCGAAAACAATGCACACAAACCTCGTTAATGACAATGTTTGGAGATGTCCCCAGCACCTCTATCTCTGCAATAGCCATGTGCATAATTGTTGTTTCAAGGAGTTTTCCATTGCCCTCGTCCTGACACGAAAAATGTCTTTGTGAGAACTCACGTCACTGCTCGCAAAAACAAAGAAGAAAAGAGGAACTTAGCTACTCTACCTTCCATGTCGAGGGAAGAAGCTCTTTGACAACTGCTTCTTGTTTTTCCCGTCCCTCTGAGGTCGCTTTTATGATCTTCTCCGCAAGACTGCAGCATCTCAACGAGATCCAGATAAAAAAACGAGAACACAAAGTCACCTCCTTCCCATACCTTAGAACAAACTTATTGTAAACTACATAAGGATGAGCAGTTAGTAGCGCCGCATCTGCAACAAGAAAAGTGGTGCTCAGGACAAAACTTTGAGAATAAGATAGAGCTTTTACCAATTTCTGACTGTTGTTCTTGCTGGAATTCCAGTTCTTTGGCTTCGCTTTCACTGCTCACATAGAGAGGCTCGCCGCTCTTGGCGTCATGATCGTATTGGTGCAGTACCTTCTCATCAACACGCTCTAGAGAAGAACAAAAAATATATATATAAAGACCAAACATGTGGCCGGAAAGATTTTTATTACCTCTTCTAGCTTGCATTCGATCTTCTAAAACTTCCAATGGATCACTGCCAGACACCAATCCCGCATATAACACACACCTACGAACGAGAAATGGACAAGATAAGCAAGAAAAACGATAACAAACTTGGCTTACAAGGAGAGCTCTCGAGCAGCTCTGGGAGAGCGAAGCCTGTGGAATTTGTCGAGCTTACCATCGCTGAGATATGAATACCTATCGCTACTCGCAGTGCTGGATTCCTTCTCGATTTCCTCCTCCATTGGTTTCCTGGGAAAATGGAGCACAGTGACGAGCTCCTCCTTGGCAGCCTTCTTCGGATTAGAGATTTTGCTGCTCCTGCTGTTGCGTCCGGCGGGCTTGGAACCGCCGAGACGCATGAGCGGCACATGCATTTGAGCCAGCGCCATGCCCTCTGTCAAAGCCCTATACCCAGGAACCCTAATTCCCGCACAAATTTGTAATTATCTGTTATATCTATGGGATTATCTCCGTTCCGAGAAGAGATCCGTGTGAATGCTTGGTGCTGTTCTTAAAACAGAGCCATTGAGTCCTCGGACACTCTCTCTGGAACGAGAATCCCATACGACCAGGAGTCGTGACCACTGGCGCCGATTTCATATGCGCAGCGAGCGCGGGATCTATCTCTCCAACCTTGCCATCCAGAGGCACGGCAGATGCTGCGACATCCAAGAGGCCTTCCGGGAGTTCCACGCCATGAGCGCTCGAAACGATTTCTCGTGGAGGCTCCTCCTTGGCGCGTGTCTCGGCCAGGGCGATGAAGCTTGCCTGGGCGCGGCCATGGACACCTTCCGCCGGATGCCCCTCGCGGATGCCATCTCCGGCACGGCATTGCTTGGGAGGCTCGCGCGGGGCCGCGGCGTCACGATCGAGCAAACTCTCGCTTTCTTCGATGATCTTCCACTGCGCGATCTCGTGTCCTGGAATTGCGTGCTGGGGGTCCTCGAGCTCGATCACGCTGGGCTTGTTTTCCATAGGATGCCGCAATGGAACTTGGTGTCCATGAATTCGCTCTTGGCGGCATTTGTGGAGAGGAAATCTGAGCTTGGTGCTCGTGATTTCTTCGCGGTGATGCCCTCTAGGAACATCATCTCCTGGACGACGATGATTCGCTGCAGCACAGATCGCCGCGCTCTGTTTGATCGAATTCCAGCGAGAAACCTTGTGTCATGGAACGCAGCGCTCACGGAATTTGCAAGATTGGGGGATTCCAATCTCGTGTGTGGGCTCTTTGATCGAATGCCGGAGAGGGATCTCGTTTCCTGGACGACCCTTCTCGCGGCTCTCGCGGAAGAAAGCGCCAGTGATCTCCTCAAGATCTTCGCCAGGATGCCACTTCACGATCTAGTTTCATCCACCGTAGCGATCTCTCGCCTCCCGACGGATGAAGCACTGCGAATTCTCGAATCCATGCCGATCCACGATGCCGCTCCTTGGAATGCGATCTTGGGTTCTTACTTGCGCGATGGAGATCGATTGAGCGCCTACAGGCTCTTTGATCGGATGCCTCTGCGAAATCTAATCTCTTGGAACACGCTCCTTACAGCATCCATCGAGGAAGAAAGTTCCCTATTGGAAAGAATATTCCACTCCATGCCCAAGAGGAATAGCGTCTCTTGGAACGCTCTTCTTGCAGCATATGCCCAAAGAGGGCAAATGTCCCAGGCAGCGAACGTCCTGGATTTAATGCCGGAGAGATCCGTTGTATCGTGGACGGTCATGATGCTAGCGTGCTGTGCGTGCGTGGATTCCGCCACGTGGATGCTCCAGAGCATGCCAGCGCACAGCCTAGTGACGTGGACAGCTATGCTTGCGGTATATGCCCAGTTGGGGCATCCAGATCGTGCGAAGGTTTTGTTTAAAAAGATGCCGTACAGGGATCTTGTCTGCTGGAACACACTAATCGCTGCGTACGGGCATGGCGGGGAGGTCGATCTTGTGCCTCGCGTCTTCGATTTGATGCCAATGCGCGACTTAATCGCGTGGTCGGCTTGCATCGCCGCGAATTCCTGCTGTGGGCGGCTTTGGGATTCCTCTAGGCTCTTCTGGGCGATGGCGCTCCAGGGAATCGCGCCCAATGAAGTGGTTCTTCAATGCATTCTCTCGTGCTGTAGTCACGCAGGGGATCTCGACGCTGGGATCCATTGCTTTCGATCGATGGTCGTGGATCACGCATTGGATCTTTCGAAAGAACACTATAGCTGCATTGTCGATCTCCTCGGCCGCGCTGGACAATTAGGGCCTGCGCGCGATCTCCTAGAACACATGCCATTCGTCCCCGACGTGGAATGGACGAGCTTAACGATCCACCACTATTCGTCGCACACGTGGCGGACGGGCAAATGGAACCTAATCCTGCCACCTGGACAAATCGTATTGGATGCTGCGTTTGCTTGAGCAAGCGAAGAACATCAAAGATTTTGGGCGTGGATATTTCTAGGGATGAGGATGTAGGTTACAGAGCACGATTGAATCGATCCTCCCGGGATGGCGGCAGCGGCGAAGATGAAGCTGGGATTCTCGGGCGGTAATCAGGTGAGCGCGCCGTCATCATCCTGCTGCCTGGGATGCGTCTCGACGACGGTCGCCGTGACTTCCCATCACTGCTCATCGAATTTCCCTCAATGCGCCACGGGAAGCAGTGGATTTCAGCTGGATTCTTCTTCGGCATTCTTGCCATTTGGAAGATTGAGGCGTGGCTCGGATTCCCTGCTTCAAGCTGCGGCCCGCAGGCGATGCGCTCATCACGTAGCAGCAGCAGCGTCACTCGGGGGCCTCCTTGGAGGGCTGTTTAAAAGCGAAGACGTCGGGGAAAGCACTCGCCAAAAGTTTTCTTCCACAGTGGATGCTATCAATGCAAAGGAGCCACAAATGGAGGGATTGTCCGATGAAGCGCTTCGAAACAAAACTGGGGAATTGAAAGCGCGAGTGGCGGCTGGAGAATCGCTTGATAGTATCCTCCCGGTAAGGATGAGCAAAACATTTTTGTTTGAATGCTAGTGTTTCTGAGCGTGATTTGCAGGATGCCTTCGCAGTTGTCCGGGAAGCGTCTAAGCGAGTGCTAGGATTGCGACCTTTTGATGTCCAACTTATTGGTAAGCAATGGATAAAATCAAGTGTGGTCTCCTTCACAGTTTCGTGTTCTTCTTTCAGGTGGCATGGTTCTTCACAAGGGTCAGATTGCTGAGATGAAAACTGGAGAAGGAAAAACTCTTGTTGCTGTTCTTCCAGCATATTTGAATGCTTTAAGCGGCCAAGGTGTTCATGTTGTGACGGTAAACGACTACTTGGCCCGTCGAGATGCTGAATGGGTCGGCCAAATTCCTCGATTCCTGGGTTTAAAAGTTGGTCTCATTCAACGTAGGTAATGGTGTATACAAACTACATTGCGTTGCTAATGTTTGCAGCATTTTTCAGAGGGAATGGATAGTGCGGAGCGAAGAACAAACTACGGCTCTGATATAACTTATGTTACGAACAGTGAGCTCGGCTTTGATTACTTGAGGGACAATTTGGCGCTGGTATAATTCCCTACAGCCTTATAAATTGTTACTAACAATTTGCATTTTCAGAGCCCAGATGATCTTGTGTTACCGAGTTTCAATTTTTGCGTCATTGACGAAGTGGACTCTATATTGATAGATGAAGCTCGAACACCGCTTATAATTTCTGGTCCTGCAGAGAAGCCCACCGATAGATACTACAAAGCTGCCAAAATAGCTGCGGCATTTGCGCGAGATGTTCACTACACGGTATTTGCTGTGCGTGTTTTCAATTTGTTATCAAAGCTGCTGCTTTACAGGTTGACGAAAAGCAAAAGTCAGTTCTAATCACGGAAGAAGGATATGAAGCAGCTGAAGAAATCCTAGATGTTAAAGACTTATATGACCCTCGGGAACAATGGGCATCTTATGTCATCAACGCCATCAAAGCAAAAGAGCTGTTTCTGAAGGACGTCAACTACATAGTCCGTGGTGAAGACGTCCTCATCGTTGACGAATTTACGGGGCGTGCACTTCCGGTATGTAGATTGTTTACGCATACCTGTCATGCTAAACTCGTAACGATTTGTCAGGGTAGAAGGTGGAACGATGGTCTGCATCAAGCTGTAGAAGCTAAAGAATCGTTACCTGTGCAAAATGAGACGGTTGCATTAGCTTCCATAAGCTACCAGAACTTCTTCTTGCAGGTTTGTTTCGACTTGCACCGAATTTGCTGCAAGACCCGACTTTTTTGCAGTATCCCAGGCTATGTGGAATGACTGGAACGGCAGCAACGGAACGGTCTGAGTTTGAAAAGATTTACAAGCTTTCCGTTGCTGTGGTTCCAACAAACAGGGCTATGATAAGAAAGGTTTGACTACAACTTCCATATGTTTTCACAAGCACAAAATTCTTTGTTTTGCAGGATGAATCTGATGTGGTTTTTCGAGCGGTTACAGGAAAATGGACAGCTGTTGTCGTTGAAATCGCACGCATGCATAAAGCAGGCCGTCCCGTATTGGTTGGTACCACAAGTGTTGAACAAAGTGAATCTTTGTCGAAACAACTATCCGAAGCTAATATTCCTCACCAAGTAAGTTCCAGCTTCCAATCTTTGTGAACTTTTAATAAGCTCTTTTCTATACAGATATTGAATGCAAAGCCAGAGAATGTAGAGAGGGAATCTGAGATCATTGCACAGAGTGGTCGAGTAGGAGCTGTCACCTTAGCAACGAATATGGCCGGTCGTGGGACAGATATTATTCTTGGCGGGAATGCCGACTTTATGTCCAAAATCAAACTGCGGGAGATGCTCATGCCAAAGTATGTACTCCAGAATCTGTGTCCGTTTGGATTTCTTATTCTTGACTGCAGGGTTGTTATACTAAGTGACGATGAGATTGCTTTTCAAAAGAAAAAGAAGATTCCCACAAGAAAATCATGGATGGTATGTCTTAGTTTTTCCTCGTGCTGAAAAAAGTGTTGTGTTTACTGCAGGTAAACGAAAATCTATTTCCTTGCAAACTTTCTGAGAATTCATCATCTCTAGCTGAAGCAGCAGTGCAAGCTGCTGTCGAGTCTTGGGGCAAGAAAAGTTTATCGGAGCTTGAGGCAGAGAATAGGCTTTCTTACGCTTGCGAAAAGGTAAATTGTGGATACGTTATGTGTTGAAGGTGCTAATCAGCGTCATGTAGGGTCCGACCGAGGACGCTGTTGTTGCAAAGTTGCGAAGCGCATTTCAAGCCATATCAGCCGAGTACAAAGCATACACCGAGGACGAAAGGAAGAAGGTTAGAAACGAAAGTTTTCATGATTTGTCCTCATAGTTTTCTTGCAGGTTGTTGCTGCAGGTGGCCTTCACGTGATAGGCACAGAGCGCCATGAATCACGAAGAATTGATAATCAGGTATAGTAACCTTGGATGTTCTCTGTATAACGCCCCATCCTTTGTTACAGTTGCGTGGCCGCAGTGGTAGGCAAGGTGATCCCGGAACATCAAGATTTTTCTTGAGTTTAGAAGATACCATATTTCGGATATTTGGCGGTGAAAGGATAAAGGTGAGGTAGTTGTCATTTTGTAGATCTTGACAAATTCTTATTTGGTGTTATCAGGCTTTGATGACAGCTTTCCGAATCGAGGATTTACCGATCGAGTCAAAAATGCTCACGAAATCGCTGGACGAGGCTCAAAGAAAAGTCGAAAACTATTATTTTGAAGCCCGTAAACAGCTGTTCGAATACGATGAGGTGCTGAATAGTCAACGTGATCGTGTCTACACGGAACGTAAGCGTGCTTTGTTATCAAAGGATTTGCAACCGCTTATGATGGAGTACTCTCAATTGACAATGGATGACATTCTCAATGTACGTTCGCCTAGAGTTAATCCTTTACTTACGTTTTTTACTGTCTCCGTGCAGGCCAACATCAGCAACGAGCTTCCAAAGGAAGAATGGGATTTAGAAGGTCTAGCATCAAAAGTCAAGCAGTGAGTTTTTGCTTTCTTTTCGAGAACTTTCCTTTTATCTATCCGTAACGCTCAACACATCTGCACTGCAGGTACTGCTTTCTCCTGGATGACTTATCTGTTGAAGTGCTACTAAAAAATGCTGATACATTTGAGAGTTTGCGGGAGTATTTACACAAGCGCGGCCGTGAGGCATACCTTGAAAAGAGAGTACGTATCCAAAACTGGGAGTCACTGAGATTTCTCACACCCTCTTGCTGTTTGCAGGCTGATGTTGAGAAACAAGCTCCAGGTCTAATGCACGAAGCTGAGCGATACTACGTTCTTACTCAAGTGGACAAGCTGTGGAAGGAACACCTCCAAGCTTTGAAGTTTATCCAACAAGCAGTTGGACTCCGAGGCTATGCCCAAAGGGACCCGCTCATCGAGTACAAGCTAGAAGGCTACAATCTTTTCCTGGACATGATGGCTCGTATCCGTCGCAACACCATTTACTGCGTCTATCAAGTAAGCTCGTCTATCCTTTTCATGCTCCTTCGTTTTGGACTTCCATTTCGTCTGTATGTATGAAGAGCATCCACGCGATAGTGATTGCTTGATCCGTGTTCCTCACATTCTCTTGTGTTGTATGTTCTGGTCTACATTACACATTCGCTCTCCCAGCTTTGATTGTTTCATTGCATTTTTCGTTTCTTTGGAGAAGTCTGGGTGATTGATTGATTGATCGATCAGGCGAGCTGACCAATTCTTTTTCTCTTTTTTTGCATCAGTTCAAGCCAGTGATGATCTACAAAGAAACACTGGATCGATCGAAGAGCACGAAAAACGGGAAAACTGCTGCCACAGTCTGATGAGAAATAGGTGCACGGGACCACAAGGGAAAAAATCGAAAAGATTCGCATAGATTCCGAGGATGGAATATACAGAGTACGGCGGGCCCAAGAATGCGGTACGGCACTTTGGTGGATATGGGCGAGGGAGTTCTTCTCGGAGGAAAGCCCCTGTTTATTTAGGGTTCTTGGGAGGCAAGGATTGCGATGGCGGCATTGGGATGCTTTCGCGCGGTGTGCCTCCTCCACGCAGCGATCGACTGCGTCTCCGGCTGCCTGATGATCTTCTTCCTGTGGGAGCTGGCCGAATTCGGGCATGGCAAGACGACATCCAGCAAGATCCTTGGATCCACGCCCTATGATCAGCTCCTCATCGCGACCTCGGAATCCCTAGTCGGGATGCTGTTGCTCGTCATTGGCCTGCTCCTCTTCATGGTATCTTTTGTAAAAGATCGGGATTTCCAAACTTTCTTCGCCAAGGGCTGTATCGTCATTCACGGCCTCATGGTGGTGTGGAGGCTTGCGTTTGAGATCAGGGTGGAGGAGCTGGCTGGGGACTCGATCAGGCAGATGATTGGTGATTGCTTGTTGGGATCGTCATGGATCTTCTTCTTGATTTGGAATTGGAGGGAGAAATACGACTGACTTGGCCGAAATATCGATCCCAGGAAAGCATACGCTGCTCGCCCCTATCCCAGATCGGCATCTCTTGTGTTCATCCTCTCTTTCCTCCTCTTTCTACCTTCTTCTTCCTTCTTTCTTGGGCATTTACTCCACTAAGCTTGATTTCCATACATACATTCGCGATCTTTGTGTGTGTGTGTGTGATTGATCGTTTTTGGCATTCTTTCCTACCCAATGCTGTAATTTCTATCCTTTTCCCTTTTTTCCTTCCTGGTTATGACATGGTTGCATTTTTGTTGTGTGACATGGCTCATTTGGGCATTGCTTTTCGTGATTCCTTTTTCCTGGTTGGAATTGATTGAATCCAGAGGTTTGGATATGGCAACTTATGGGCTTTGCTGGAAGAGTAGCTTCTTCCCATCTGCTGGGACGAGTCTAGAGCCCCTGAGTTGTAGACTCTCGTTATTAGCACGTAGGACCGTCGTCACGGCAAGCGTTGCTAAAGACGCTGCTGCTATTGGCAAGCCAAAGCGCTTCTACTGGAATGTTACGGGATTCCCCTTTCCACTGGGACCATTTCTTCAACGAAAGACAGTTCGAAAAGAGGTAAGAAAGTCATCTCTCTTTCCTTTCTCCTCCTCCTGGATTTGATCATCGGCTTCTTTCTAGGTGATCAAGGACAGCATCTGGACTTTTGAGCAAGAGCAAGGGCTTGGGTTCAGCAGTATCAGCACCAACGTGCGAATGACTGTGATCAAGCTCAAGTCTGGGGGCTTGTGGGTGCATGCTCCCATTGCTCCCACCAGCGAGTGTCTCCAGGTACTCACGGTTTATTCTAGAAAGTTTGTCCATGCTCACTCACACTGTTGAAACTTTCCAGCTGCTCAAGGAGCTGCAGAAACCCATCGAGTACATCGTGCTGCCAACTTTTGCTTACGAACACAAGGTCTATGTTGGGCCCTTCTCCAGGAACTTCCCGCGGGCTCAGGTGTGGGTAACACCTGGTCAATGGAGCTGGCCTCTAAACCTGCCGCTGGAATTTTTTGGAATTTTCTCGTCTCGGACGCTACGTGACGATGGCTCGGTTCCATGGGGGAGTGAGATTGATTACAAGATTCTGAGCTCACCTGAAGTTGGTTTGCGCTATTCCTGCTCACTCATCTTCGCATTTAACTGGAAATGGTTTTGCAGGAATTGGACCTTACGTCGAGGTTGCATTCTTCCACAAGAAGTCGAGGACGCTGCTCATGACAGACGCGGTGATTTACGTGCCCGAGAGACCTCCCGAGGTTGTGAGCAGGGAAGCGCTGCTGGCATCCGCTAGAAACGGCTTGGCCGTCAAGCTGTTGAGCAAAGGCAAAGAGGTTTTGGATGAACCTGTTGTTGACAACGATCGAAATCGCCAGAAAGGTGAGCATTCGTGATTCCTTGAATGAACTGGGTTGTGAAGGTTGTGGTTTGCCGCAGGATGGGAAAGAATGGTGCTGCAAATACTTTTCCTAGGGCCCTCGAACTTGCTGGAACCAGAATACTCATTCTCTCAAGTCTCCAAGCGGCTCATTGTCTCTCCAATTGTGAAGACTCTTGTCTTTAGCAAAGTTCCTGAGAAGGTATTTCTTTTTACTTCTATGTTTTGTACGTGAACTTGACTTGGTATAGACAATGTTTAGGTGAGAGACTGGATAGATTTCATCACTGGCTCCTGGAAATTCCGGCAGATCATACCAGCACACTTCGCGGCACCCATAAGAGCTGGACCCCGGGAGCTGAGAGCGGCCTTTTCATTCATCGACGAGCTTTTGGAAGAGGAGGATGACGACGTCCTTTCGTCGCTGCGACTTGGCTTCTCGAGATTGTGGAAGAACGCGGGCAGCATTTTCTCCAGCGAAGACATGAAAACGCTGTCGTCGCTGGACGAGTTCCTGGTGTCGCTACGAGTGGTAAAGAAGACGGTTTCCAGCAAACTAAGATAGTTGTTCTTCTGTCACACGGAAAGAAGAATAGAAGGTATTGTTTCTTTCGTTTACCATTACCAATAATCTTGGCAGGAGCACCTTCCATCGTCAAAATGATGGAATCTATTCGAGTCTCTCACAACAATCCTGCGCTTGGTGACGAGCGAGATAAACTTGGTGACGGTGTGGCAGTCGAGACACACCCGGAGGTTCTTGATGATCCACAGTTGGGTTCCAGGCGGAGTGGCAACCAGGCCAAAACCGATCGCCAGCCTCTCACTGTGCTGCCAGAGGAGCCGCTCCTTCTCGCTCTCTCCAATGTCGTGAAGAACCTCCCGGACCTCTGGAGCAAACAGCCTTTGCTCCACCATCATCCTCTCCAATCTCCGGAGCTCCATCGCGATCTCCTCGCCCTGTGGATGCGCGGCAAGATCCTCGCCGACGCAAAACCTGTGATCCACACCGCCAACTTCAATGCTGCTCACGCAGCGATGGATTCTCACCCCTCTTTCTTTCATCACACGATTCGCCCTCGCGGCCTCGGCGTGCCACCCGGCCCCGGCAAAGAGATTCGCGAGCAAGACGTACGGGCAGCCGCCGCCGCCGTACTCTCCGCACGCCTCGAGCTCCATCAACTTCTCAGCCGCCCGTACGCCGGCTCCCATGTGGCCGTACGACCGGGCCGCGCCCAACAGGCTCATCCACGCCACGTCGCCGGGCACGTACGGCATTGCGTTGACCAAATCCTCGCAATCTTTCACCCGACCCGTGCGGCCGAGTAAGTCAACCATGGTCAGAAAGTGGTCGCAGGTGGGGTCAACACGGTGGTCAGAGCTCATGCTCACGAGGTAGTCACGACCGGCGTTGACCGTCCCCAAGTGGGCGCATGCCAGTAGGACGCTGGCAAAGCAAACGCGGTCAGGAGCCACGCCGTCGAGTAGCGCTAGGTGGAACGTCCGGATGGCCTCCACGTCATGCCCGTTCTGGGCATTTGCAGCCACGGCGGCGCTCCACGCCACCACGTCTCTCTCCAGCATGGAATCGAAGGTATCAGCCACGGCGGCAATGCGGCCGGAATGGCCGTACGCCGCAACCATGCTGGTCGCGGCGACGCGGCCGTGCTGCGGCATCCGTACGAAAGCCACCTCGGCCTGCCGTACGTGCCCGCCCTGGGCATTTGCAGAAACGAGTACGGTCCATGAGACGACGTTCTTGGCGGGCATTTTGTCAAAGAGGGGCTTCAGTTCTGTGGCATTGGAACACATCGATATCAAAAGCGTCCACGAAACAATGTCCCAAGAGGGCATCGTCTGGAAGACTCTTTCGCGGCAGGCAGGTGAGCTTTGCGCCTGGATCAATGCATTCCAGGAGATTTCATTCCTTTCGGGCATCGAATGGAAGGTCTCGAGTGCTTCCTGAATGCCGCCATTGTTTGCAAACGCGACGACGAGAGTGTTCCAAGACGCAGCGCTCGTTAGTGGCATGAGCTCAAAAATTCTTTGCGACTGGAGTGTATGCCCGCAATGGGCATATCCGGCTGCTAACGCGTTCCACGCCACCACGTTTCTTAGCGGCATAGAGTCAAAAACACATTTTGCTTCCGTGACACGGCCTAGTCTTGCAAAAATGCTGATCATCAGCGAACAGGATACGACCGTTCGCTCCGGCAGATGATAAAACAAAACTTCTGCCTGGTCCAGATACCCACAATGGGCATATGCATTTATCATTGTGTTCATGCAAACTGGATCTTGCTCTGGCATTCTTTCAAACAATGCTCGAGCATAACCAGAAAATCCACTCTCGGCAGTGGCTTGCAGTAAGACGGTCCAAGAGATGATATCTCTCTCTGGCATTCTTTGAAACATGTTTAACGCAAGCTCCAAATGCCCAACCTTCGCATTTAGAAGAATCACCGACGTCCAACACACACTATTTCTCTCTGGCATTCGATCGAATGCCACCTTTGCGCCGTCGGCATCCCTGCTGTTTACGAATGCGCCAAGCATGGAACTCCACGAAAAGATGTTCTTGTGCTTGATCTCTTGGAAAACTTGAAAGGCATGATCCGAGTTTCTGAGCTTGCCATACTTGTGGATGAGAAGATTGCCGAGGTATCTGTCCGTGCCAAGGCCGCTCTCGCGAATCTGGGAGTGGAGCAAGGCAAGATTCCTGGCATCGACGCAGCACCTGATGAGGCCAACGAAGCGTTCTTGACGGTGGAGCAGTGGCATGCCTTGAAAGAACCATGGCAGTTAACTCTTTCGCCAAGACAAGGATAAAACCATTACAAAGACATGGAAAGAAGCCACTTCAGTTCAAAAGTAACTTACAAGTTAGCAAGAAATGAGTTTTACACGCCTTGAGAGGCTTGTTTAGCTGCACAGTGATTTGCTACGTGAGCCTTCTTCTCTTCTGCTACCTGCTAGAAAGAAGAAAGAAAATAAACGAGGAAGAAACATAAAACCATCACGAAAAACCATACCTGACTAGCAAGTTGCGCACAATCCATGGTTTCTTCGGACTCCTCTTTGCTCGGTTTGGCCTTTACTACGGCCTTTTGGACGTCCTGTGGTTTCCTCCTGTGATGTTTTCCTTCCTCGCGTTAGAGAGTAATTGAGGTTCAAACGAAACAAACCTCGCCATGTAAGATTGCACTGCCTGAGCAAAGCCAGGCTTGTACGAGAAGAGCAGCCCACGGAAGAGCTTCCCATCGATGGAGGCTTCTAGCGTGTATCCGTAGTTGAATACGTCGCTTACTCTAGCCTCGAACATCTTCTCGCCTAGCGGCTGGACGTGAGCTTGAAACTCTGTAGCATGAGTTTGACAGGGAAAAATTGGAGAGGTCCAAGGTTTTCCGCAGATACCTCCGTGAGATGAAACCAAGCTCTTGTCCGCATCCCGTTGCTTGTCTAGCACGAATGGCGTGGCACGATACTCTTGCCGCCTTCTCTTAAGTTCCTTACGCATGGATAGCTTTGGCTCTGATGGATCTTTCTCCCTCAGCATCTCTTCACAGAAAAACGGCAACCATATTGTGAAGAACAGCAATGTCAATAAAAGAAGAAGCCAACCTGTGTCGAGGAAATACATGTCATCCAGAGCTTCAAGCTCTTCGTTACATCCCCCATAGAAGAATAATATGCCTCGCTCTGCGTCCACGGAATCTCCTGCAAGGGAGAAACGTGGAGAAGGCCCGGGGCCAGAGGGATTCGAAGTCGCCCAAACACCAGTCGCTACAAAATACGTAAAAGCCCCATGAGACCAACAGGAAACAAATCTACCTACAAGCGCACGTACTTAAGTCGAGAGTGTGGACGTCATTGAATAGCTTGCGATCGTCGGAGAATCCTCCAAACACGACGAGATACTTTCCATGGCTGATTGTTGTGTGCCCGGCTCTTGGCATCAGCTCAGCACCAGTCGTCTTTACCTCCCGCCATGCCATTGTTTCTGGAAACGCAAATGAATTCACAAGTTTAAAACCAGCACAATGTATGTACCTGTGTCCAGAATATGAACGTCGTTTAGATAGGCATTACCACCGTCCTCGCCACCCATGACAACGAAACAGTTCTTATAGGAAGAGCAGGTATGGCTATCCCGAGGAATAGGCGAGACTCCAGTGGTAGAAATCTTCTTCCAGACAAAAGTACCTACAGGAAAAAAAAAATTGTTTAGAAGAAAACAAAGAAAGATAACAGGATACTACTTGTGTTCAAAACATGAAGGTCGTTGTAGTACTCCTCCTCTGAGGGATCGCTGGATTTCCCACATCCCCCAAACACGAACAGGTTGTCACCGATGAGAGACGCGCTATGTCCTTCTCTCGGAGCAGGAACATCACCAAAAACGTCGGGTTTCCCCCAGGTGTTGGTAGCTGCATTGGATGATCAGAACAAGAAAAAAAAACTCGATAGAACTCGGAGCTTACCAGTATCCAAAACAAAGAGATCGTCGAGCGGGCTGGTTCCATCAGTACCGCCAAACACATAGAGCTTAGACCCGACGGCCGTGGAGCTGTGGCTGTCCCGAGGAGAAGGGTGCGTTCCTTTCATCACAGGCTTGCTCCAGGTGTACGTCCCTGCGCGATCCCACCGAAAACATGATCAAAACCATATTTTCTGGAAAACCCAGAAGAGGAAACTTATACCAATGTCGAAGACGTGAACATCGTTGGTCTGGCACTCGTCCCGGCCGTAGCCACCGAAAATGTAGATGAGATTCCTGACCGCATTGCAGGTGTGGCCCCATTTGCACCCCGGCGGCTGCTGCTGGAGCTGATCGCTGGATCGACGAGGCGCCCACTTCATCTTTACCCTAAAATACAAGTGTAAAAGAGAGACTACAGGGTTTATAGCGCTGCAAAATAGAAATCCCTCTCAATGCATTAAAAACGCAAGACTGGAGAACAAGGAAGCGAACCGTGGACGAAAATTTCTATTTTTTCTCTTGGTTCCAGCCTCGAGCACCTGGAACAAACAGGAACTTTAAGCCTCGAAAGAGAATAGCGAAGAGCAAGAGAGTGAAGAACCTTGATTCTAGTCGTGGTTCCAGCCTCGAGAACCTGGAACAAACAGGGACTTGAGAGACTCGAAAAAAGAATAGCGACGAGCAAGAGAGTGAAGAACCTTGATTCTAGTCGTCGATGACAACGTGAATCCCCTCGTTGTCCGAGACGTCGTCCCTGTCGTGAGCTCCATCCACCATAGCCTCTTCGCCTTTCACTCCCAATCCTCGTCGCATTTCCGAGCAGAGCACGTCGATCTGCCGAATGCACCTGCGCAGGCGGATGCCGGCGGATTTGTTCCCCGCGTAAGTCTGGAAGGCGTCGAGCCTGTTCTCGCTGATCATCGAGCACAACTATGGCAACACAGAGAAAGCCGTGAGCCTCTCAAACCTTTGCAAACGGAGAAACAAACACAACCTCGTTGTAATAGGCTGGGACTTTCAGCCGCTTAGGATCGTTATCCAGTGCCGTTCCCAGGACTTCTTCCGGAGCTGTCCAAAAACGAACGCGTTACAGTTTTTTCTAGTGTCTAAATCGAAGGAACTCACTCAAAGGTGTTGGATAAGGAACAAATGTAGGTTGCGGCTTTTGGTAGGAGGTTTTTGGACCCTCGCCAGGCTCGACGCCGCCGTTGCTGCGATTGGCCGGAATATCTTGGTCATCCTGGAACATCTCAAGTTAGAATCGCAGGGACGACGATAGGGAGGTCGAGACTCTTTTACCAGATGATATTCTGCGTTGAGTACTTTTTCCATAAGTGCGACTCGTTTCTTCAGGAACTCGATAATTCTCCTGTTGAAGAACGCTTCGGCGTCGGTTAAATGATTGTCATTTTCCGGCGCGTGGCCATTAACCACGGTATCCTGAGCTTTTGGACTCGAGAATGAACCAATCGGTGGCAGCTTCAGTTCTTCACGTACAGCTGACTGTAGCCTCGCGTCTTCAACAATTTCAAGCCATTTACCATAGCCATGCCTGCAATGATTTCGTGAGCAAACAAACAATATGATCTCAAGATCAGACAAACTTGATAATAGCGTCCAGTAGATATTTATCGTGTTCCTCAGTCCAGACAGTTGTGCCCTTTAGAGCAGGGAATTTAGCATAGACTGCGTAAGAGAACAGCCTTGCCTTCGGATTCTGCGTATACTGTTTAACCTGCTAAGACTGGTGCTGTCAACCAGATGAAAAAGCCTCACAAATTACCTTGTTTGTAATAAGGTGGAGTACAGCAACTCGAACCAGCACATCTTGAATTCGAAGGCCTTCTTTCGGAACTCCATCTAAGTACATACCGTCATAAACCGTCACTTTTATTTATTCGCTTACCAGCAAAGGTGTCTGAGTCTGTAACATCTTCTGCAATGTGCGTCAAAAAGAGGGTACCATACCTGACAGCAAGCCTATCAGAATCATCGCATAAGGTCTCGTTAGAAATACTCTTTGATCTCGTGAAGCTGTTTTTGCTTAAAATAAGGAACGAAACTGCTCCAGGTGAAGTCTCCAAGCCCAAACCTGAAGCAATAAAACCAATTTAAACGACAAGCAGGCATCTACACGAACCTCATCAAAATCTGTACAAAACGAACTCGGTGCTTTCGGCGGAATCCAAGAACTTTTAACGACTTTCCATCCCCTTCCATCAAGGGCGCGGGATGTACAGAAGACTCCCCTTGTTTTTACGGAAAAGGTTAGAATTGGATACATTAAATTTCAGCATCGTCTCACCTTTCTGTTTCTTTGTCTTTTCCTCCACTGACTGTATGTACTCCGTGTCAAGTTCATCGTTCTCGTCATTCTCTGAACTACTGTAGTCCATTCCCGCCAAGTCATCTTCACCGTGAACAACCTGCATTTGTGAGTCAGATTATAGGTTATTATCAATGCAAGTAAGTGAACCTGTTTCCGACTACGCTTTCCCTTCCCCATTTCTTGTTCTTGGACGTGTTTCTTTTCGAATCTCTCTTTTAAAAGGCTTTCCCAGTACTTCAACCTTTCTGTAGAGCTTAGGTGCTCCGCCTCGTAGTCTGCTTCCGATTCTCTAAATGCCTCTTCTTTCCGACCTTTTCCATGGTTGACGTACTCGAAATTCGCAACCTGTTACGATTTGTTAATTCAAGGTTAGGATCAAGAGATAGACCTTGAAAGCTTTCAACAAGTCGTTGTCGTCCTCATCTGTAGACATCTCATGGCCAGTCTCTACATCAGAGCGATCAAGTAGCCTGTAATATCATTATAGTTAAACACACACGTTACAGAAAATAGGGATCACCTGTCAATTGCAGAATCGTCATAATGGATTTGCCAAGATTTTCCAGAATCATCGTTCTCGTCTCCAAATACACTCTTGGCACCGTACCTAAGAATGTCATCAAGTTCTTCCTAACAAATAGCAAAGAGAATAATCAGATAGATGAGCAATTTCATCGTACCTGGTTTAGGACTTGTGTCTTCATACGGCCCACTACTAAGTGCTCCAATACCATCTTCTTTTTTGTCATTTGCATCATGCGCTCTTCGATGCTACCTCTTGTAACCAGCCTGTATATCATCACCTGCATAAAAGCTAGTAAGTTAACTTATATCGTTTAGTTCAGCGAAGTACGATTTACCATGTTTTTTTGTCCCAAACGATGAGCACGTGCCATTGCTTGTAGGTCTGCATGAGGATTCCAGTCGCTGCGGAGGTAAAAATGCCGTCTTTGCCAGACTGACTTTGAAAAACTTAAGACCATACCTGTCGTAAATGACAACCGTGTCTGCAGTGGCCAGGTTTATTCCCAAGCCCCCAGCTCTGGTTGACAGAAGGAAACAAAATCGATTCGAATTAGGAGCATTGAACCTGTCGATGCGAATCTGCCTTTCGGCCCCTGTTACGTTCCCGTCAATGCGCTCGTAGCTCCAATTCTAAAGGGAAAAATCAAAAGGAAAAAATTTTAGGAAAACACCATATTTATGAAAATTCAGTAAGAAAAAGTACCTTATGAGTTAAATAGTCCTCAAGAATATCAAGCATGTGTTGAAACTGAGAGTAAAGAAGAACCCGGTGCCCGCTTGCTTTTAGCTTCACCATCATTTTATCTAATAGAGAAAGTTTTCCCGAAGACTCTATTCTATGTCTGTCAGAACCAAAAAGGTAATATGAGTCGACTAGTGAGCCTAGAAACTTTTACCTGTTCTCTTCCTCTTCATTCTTGGAATCAGGTTCAATCACCATGTATGGGTGTCCACACAGCTTTCGCAACTCCATAACAACATTGTTCAGAGACACCTGCAGGTAACTGCAGTCAGAATGCAGTGACGCACGACCAGATCATATACCTGAGGCCCTCCTCGCTTACTCAGTGCCTCATAGTTTCGAGTTAGAATTTCTTTATAAAGCTCTTTCTGCACCGAGCTCAGCTCAACGCGTAGCATTAGTTCCTTCTTAGGAGGTAGCTGCTTCAGTACATCTTTCTTGACCCCTTATTTGTTGGATAACAGTTGTAGTACCAGAAAAAAAATACGCAAATTAAAAAAACACTTACTTCGAAGCAAATGTGAGGCCAACATCTTATGCAGCCTGCTCACTTGTTCTTCCTGGTTAATGTCTCTAAACTCTTGCTGAAACTCTTCTAAGCTTGAAAACTGCGTTAACAAAAAAAGAGGTCCATAATAGTGAGGTTGCAGCTCAGACAAAAACGTTACCTTGCTAGCGTCGAGAAAATGCATCAAAGTAAAAAGCTCGTCCAGATTATTCTGCAGCGGCAAATGCTATGGTTGTAAAAATATCAAAAGCAAAATAAAACACCTGCAAAGGTGTGCCAGTTAAAAGAACTCGATGATATGTCGTGTAATTTTGCAGCGTTTGAAATAACTTCGACTCTTTGCTCTTCAAACGGTGGCCTTCATCCACAATCTGCAATGGCATGAGTGAGTAGTAGACAAAACAATAACAATATACTCACCAAGCACTCCCACTTGATTGATTTTAAAATGGCTGCGTCAAAAGTTATCATCTCATACGACGTTAGTAAAACATCGAATTTGATGCGATCTTGCTTCGAATGCTTTCTTTCTGAGTAGTACTTCTTCTTTGTTTTATCCGTCTTCGGATAGAAGAATTCAAACTCTCTGATAACTGACCGTGCCTTGGCATTTCCAGCATATACAACCTGCAAACAAGCACATAAGACCTCACGAGTTTTTGAACATTAACATACAATGTGTATATCCGGTGCCCAAGTGGCAAACTCCCGTTCCCAATTACGCAACGTCGATAGTGGTGCTACAACAAGATGGGGATCCGTGACTTCTTCCTGTTTCAAAGAAGCCAGAAAAGCAATGGTTTGAATCGTTTTCCCTGATAAAAGACGGTTAAGCCCCATTCAAGAATATGTAATGCACATACCAAGGCCCATCTCGTCCGCAAGTATAACATGCTTCTCTTGTTGCCATGCAAAACGCAAGAAGTTCAAGCCTTCTAGCTGGTAGGGATGTAAAACACCGTCTGCCAGAACCACACACGTATGAAACAGATTTCGTTTAGAAGTCGAAAGTAAATACCTGAAAGAAAATCAGGCGTTGTCTCAAACTGAGTGAACGTTTTCTGGTGCCTAGCGGCTGTCCTCTTAGTTTTCCTTGGTCCTCTCTTGGCAATTTTCTCGTAATAGTCAATTTGAGATTGAAACTGTGCAATGTCCTCCTTTACTTCCCAGGTTGCCTCGTCGTACCCGAGTTCTTTCCACTTGACAAGATACTCCTTGGTGTTTTCAGTTTCCCTGAAAGTAATAATTTAGTGTCAACGTGCAAGAAAATCGTCGTAAACATACCTTTCGTCTATGACCCTATCAACAGTGATCCATTCCACCCGAATTGGACCTTGATCCTCGTCTGCAAGTTCTTTCATGGCCTCGCACGTTTTGTGGAAATGGTTCATTTTCATTCGCAATCCAGGATACATCCTTGACGCTCTCTCCATTTCATTCAGCGGTATCCTGTGATACTTTTTAAGAATGAAGAGTGTCTATAAGCAAAAAAGGAAAGACTTACCAAGAGCAGTGAAGGTAAGACCTCGACTTCCACTTGACAAGGTAATGCTTCATCAGCTCTTCTTCTTCTTCTTTCTTTCCTTCCTCGTCTTCCTTCTCCGTAGCTTTCAAGGGCCGCATTTGAGAATCTAAAATCTTTTCAATGTCTGCAAGAGGCTCCTCCTGAAAGAAACAAAAAATTCCAGCATTAGAAACGAAAAGCATTCGCGCACACTAACACAACAAGCAGCGAGAATGCTAGCTCTAGCACTCACGCATTTAGGGCATCTCCAGCTCCCTTTTGGAACAGACTTCATTGGTGGATCCAAGCACTGGAGGTGATACACCGCAGTGCAAGCATCGCAGCACAAAACCTTGCCACCACTTTTGCAAATGGTGCAAAAATCTTCGCTCTACAACACACACCGTGAAATCCAGCAATCCAGGATCGAAAATCCATACCTTGCTCGACACCGCCTCCTCCAGATCGCTGTCCTCGCCGGCCCCATCCAGCTCCATTTCCCTGGAATCCTCATAGTCGTCCTCGTCCGAGGAGTCCTCGAAATACGATGCCTTCCTCTTGGCTCTCACTCTAAGCCCTTCCGCCATTGCTATCACTCCCTGGACGAAAACCTAGAACTAAAAAACAATGGAAGAAATATGAACGCCATACCTTCCAGCTCGATTGGTATCCAGAAGCTGCGATCCTTCGCCAAGGAGAAGCGCCGGATCGAAGAACAGGAGGAGGAGCTCGAGGAGGACAAGGATCGCTCCTTCTTCTCGCTGAGGAAATGCCGTGTGCTAGCCGATGCCAAGCGCCTGCATTCGCTGGTCGCGCTCCACGATCGCTCCCAAGAACCCTACCTCCACAATCTCGTCGTGCAAATGTATGGCCGATGCGGCAGCACGCGCGACGCGATCGCGGCCTTCGAAGATATTCGCGACAAGAATCTCTTCTCCTGGAATATCGTCCTTGGGGCGTGCCTGCGCAGCGGCGATGGATTGGCGGCGCTGGAGCTCTTCTGGAGAATGGATTGCGATGGATCCGTGAGGCCAAACCGGATCACGCTCCTCTGCGTCGTCCGCGCTTGCTCGATCCTGCCCCAGTCCGCTAGAATCCGGCGGATTCTAGAAGCCGTCCACTCCAGATGTGGCAGTGATGTCGCTGTGGTGAATTCCCTGCTCACGATCTATGGCCGCTGGGGAAGATTATCGGATGCCATGGCGATATTTCGGCTCCTGGGCAAGAACCGAGACCAAATCTCCTGGACTGCGATGATCACTGCGTATGCCCAGCACGGGCATCCATCCGACGCGCTGGACCTCTACCGACGGATGGATCCCAGGCTGATCGACAAGACCGCATTGATCAGCGTTCTTGGCGCCTGCTCCAATCTTGGAACCCCAGGGCTCTCCCAGGGCAAGCAAGCGCACGCCCTGATCTCTTCCCGCGCCTACGACCAAATCGGCGACGCTGTGACGAGCAACGCGCTCATCAGCATGTATGCCAAGTGCGGAAGCCTCGCCGACGCCAAGGCCGTCTTCGATCGAATCCCCCGCGCGATTAGAACTGTCGTCTCCTGGAACAGCATAATCCAGGCCTACGCGCTCGCCGGACGCTTCGATCAAGCCCTGGAGCTCTACCGCGCCATGGATCTCGCCAAGAACGACGTAACATTCGCCACTGTGCTTGGCGCTTGCTGCTCGCTAGCCGACGCCCAAGACATCCACGGGCATATTCTCCATAGCCAGCGCCAACGCGAGCCTCTCACCGGTACGGCACTGGTCCAAGCGTACGGCAGGGTGGGCGAGCTACCGCGGGCCGCCGCGGCATTCCGCGACATCCGCACAAAAACTACGGTCACTTGGAACACGCTGCTGGCGGCATATTCCAACCGTGGTCACGTAACCGTGGTAGCCACTCTCTTTAGAGAGATGAGCTTGGAAGGCATACAAGCCAATGCAGTGACTTTCGTGAGCCTTCTCCAGAGCTCAAACCAGAGCTTAGACGCGAGCTTTTTCTACTTCCTGGAGATGAGAAGAGAGTATGGGATTTCTCCAAGCGCCGAGCACTATGGTTGCATTGTAGACAGCCTTGGACGAGCTGGAGAGCTCGATCGAGCTCAAGACTTGATAGAAGCTATGCCGTTTCACGAGGACGCTGTGGCTTGGATGAGCCTTCTCTGTGCGTGTGCCATTCACGGAGAGTTTACACGGGCTCTGGAGGCTGCTGAAAGAGTTGTTTCGCTGGAAGGAAACGACAGTGCTCCCTACACACTACTCTCAAATATGTTCGTATACTTGCCTTGAGTTTTTGCGAATCCCGCAGGTTGTGAAGATCGTGGAGATCATGAGCACGGGAACGGACCACACGAAGCCGGGAGAAGCCCATCCCCATTTCCAGTCGAAAGCAACCGCGACCCAGTAGCATTGCTGCAAGAACAAAAGAAGAAAATTTTTCGGAAAAGCTAGCTTCGCAAGAACAAGAACAAAGGCTTACCCGCCAATGAAGCCAGCCGATGAGTAAACAGACTGCAAGAAGCGCTTTCCTCCTCCATCTCGAGCACACCACGCAGCGCTTCTTCTCGACTTTGGCCTCGTTTTCCAGAAGCTGAAGCAGGCCAGAGTCGGACTTTTCGTTCAGCTTCTTCCGTGACATCTTACTTCCTTCGCTCTTGCTCGTTTTTCCACAATGCTTTGCTTGATGGGCTTCGCAGGCTGCTCTCTCGGCTGACAAACCGGCGATCACCACGCTTAGTGGCAAGACGACCATGTAAAGAAACGGCAAAACGATGACCAAGACGTCCGGGGAAGCTAAGCCAGACTTTCCAAGTTCCTGAATGTGCCAACCTGTGCGGCTTAGATATCCTGCTGCATGGCCATCTCCAAATGGATACCCCCAAAACCATGGAAGAAAAACTAGCCAAGTAACTAACGCGAGTTGTCCCCACCATAGTCCGTCATTCCGAGACCCTTCCATGAAAATCCATCCAACACTCTTCAGCGCATACTCCAAATACGAACCTCCGCTCTTCGTGTTCCAGGCCAGCACCGAAGAAACGAAGCTCTTATACGCCTTCTTCTGCTTGAGACGAACGTACGCAAGCCTTGGCAGTAAAAGTACTGCGGCCAGCAGTCCAATGCTAAGCCAAAAAAGAAGCAGATAAGCATCGGCCCACTGTACTCCCATCACGAGAAACTCCGAGAATCCCCACTTAAGTTCTGCGACTTTGCCGTCTACCGAAAACGGCCTAAGCTCGCTCGCAGTCTTCCTGCCTGAAGAATCAGTCACCAAAACTTCTAGCCAGTACCGCAGGGCCGACGGATCCGAGTACCTGTTTCTCCTCCATCTTGTCTCATAGAAAACTGCTTTGTTGTTAGGACCCCAAGTGAGTTGCATATCAAGTTCGTCGACCAGACGGAGAGAGCCCGACTTGCTGTCGTATACTTTTGCCACCGCAGATGTTATCGGCACCTCGGAGAACACAAGTGCTCGAATGCGATCACCGTGGTCTTCATCATCTCCAGTGTAAGCTGGATGCCTCTTCATAAACCGCGAATCCAAAGGATATGTCGGTAAGACTATCGTCGTGAAGTTCATCGTCCCGTCCAACCTGATATCCACGAACGAAGTGTGGCCGTGATCAAGTGAAAGCACTCGCACGGTCCTGCTGCCTCTCCAGTCCCCGATTTCCCACTCCCAAAACTCGTTCTTTCTGCTAAAGGTGCCACTGCCCGGGTACGAGTGAAGCCGATATAGCTGCTTTCCGAACTTGGTGTGGAGGTGGCCACACAAGTATGCCGAGATGCCATGCCTCGCGAGAATCTCTTCGGGTCGTCTCCCTGATTCTGAAGAGGCCGTGAAAGACATTGGAAAGTGTCCAAACGCTACCTTGGCGGAAGAACTGGGTGCATGCTTCTTTTCAAAGCCTTCGAGCAGGGACACCATTTTCCCAAGCATGGAGTCTGTCGGATGGCCAAACAGATTTGTTGGCCCGCGAAGCCCGATGGCCATGGTATCATCAAAGCCAAGAAACAAGTACTTCCAGCCACCAGGAACCTGTCAGAGAAAAAATTGTTTTCAGCTGTAAGTTACACAAGCTCGAGGAATGATCCAAGTTAACGCACCGTGACAGTTGCCGCTTGAACAGGATCTACACGATTCATATCTGCACTGATACTGTACCGAGAAAAGAAGTCCAGTTCGCGATTGGGAACACCAAACCTGTCATGGTTGCCACGAAGATCGAAGAACACACTTTGTGGCAATCGGCTCTCTTTCGATACGTGCTTCATGGTTTTCTGGTACTGCATCCACTCGGCTTCATCTTGCCTTGTCACAGAGAGGTCTCTGTTCTTGGCATCTATAACGAAAATGCAAGGGAATGTTAAGAAAAAAATCGTGGGAGAGCGCAAAATTACCAGTGAGATCGCCGGTGACGAGCACCAGAGCAGGCCGGACGAGCGCCAGAAGCCGCGAGGCCAGAATCTCGAGATCTTCCGCTCGATTTGGATGAAAAACACTCACATGGAGATCGGAGATCTGAACGGCCCATGCGACAGCGTCTGGCGCATCTGAGAAATCTATCTTTGTCTCCTCGCACCTGATCCTGGCGAAGAGCGCGAGCGCGATCAAAGCTACTGGTAAGCGCCAGATAGGCGCCATAACCTAGACGAAATGAAAAATATTTTAGGGTTCTTGAGGGAATTACTTCATCCGTTTCCTACCAGGATAATAGAATTCTTCAGTCAGCCGGGAAATATTCTTAAACCATTAAATAAATTGACTTTCTATTTTTCATAATAATTAATAAATAATATAGAAATGATAATTATTACTAACTGTCGTTAATAAATAGTATTTTCACATTTTTGGTTTGCTTAAGAAAGCTTGTAAAGATATACCTAGAATATGCTTTGATATTCTGGGATATTTTACCATCTAATTGTTTTATTAATTTAGATTAATCTTGTATTTATAATTTATAAACAGTATATTGTAGTGTTTATGAATTTTAAACATTCATTAAGAGTTGTTATTAATTATTGACTAGTTTAAATTCCATAAGTTTCCAGAAGTGCACTTGCCATTGCTCGAAGCAAATGACCAAAGTTGACACATTGTCTAAGGATATCATCCTGAACGGTGAAGGCGGGGATTAAATACACGTGGATATGTAAACTATATAATCCCTCACAAGCTCCATAATGCTTAAACTCAGTCCTTGAAAATTTTTAAGCCAAGAAAACATCGTTGCATTGTTTTAGCGTTTTTGTAAATATACTCCACGCCAGATCGTAACAAGAAGTCTACTCTCAAGGCAAAGAAACACGTGGAGCAGTGATCTTAACAGAATAGTCCAAGTCTAAGATTTTCTTTGTTGTCAAAGTCAAAAAGTTATTCAACCTGGGTGCCTATAAAATGTTTCTCGGCTCTTCTGGTCGATTGGGTTGCTTCGTGGTTTCGTCTCAGCACGTCTCGGCAAGCGGCCACCCCGACTCAACTGCTGATTCTCGCGCTCGGGCTCTTCCTCTCCTCTCGCGCTTGCTCTCTCCCTCTCGCGCTGGCGCTATCGTTCTCCCTCTCGCGCTTGCTCTCTCCCTCTCCCTCTCCCTCTCCCTCTCGCGCTCGCGCTATCCCTCTCCCTCTCGCTCTTGCTCTCTCCCTCTCCCTCTCTCGCGCTCGTGTTCCCTCTCCCTCTCGCTCTTGCTCTCTCCCTCTCCCTCTCTCGCGCTCGTGTTCCCTCTCCCTCTGGGCTCCCTCTCCTCTCACGCTTGCTCTCTCCCTGTCCCTCGCGCTCGTGCACTCTCCTTCTCATTCTCGCGCTCGTGCTCTCCCGCCCCGCCCCTCTCTCTCACACACATTTCACATTTCTCTTGGTCTGTTTTGTTTCCAGGATGACGGGAAAAGAAGAGCTGAATGCTGCGGTGCGTGACGTTATCGAGCTCAAGGAGAAGCTCCATGACCTCCTGCTTGCCACGGAAATTGCCATCGGGGACACCATGAATTCCTTCGACCGCAAGGAATTCAAGAAGGAGATAAATCGCATCCTACAGGAAAACCCCTACTCGCGATCGATTGCCCGGAAGGGGAGAGATGCCAAGGCCAAGGCAAAGAAGCTCGAGAAGCTCGGGGAGGCCTTTGAACGGGCCGTGATGACTGCAGGGGCGGCTGTGAATGAACTAGATGTTTAGGTTGGTTGTTGTGAATCGCAGATCTCGATCGAATTCCTGGAAAGAACAAAGCAGATAATTTTAAGAATATTCGCTACAATAAAAAAGCAGACCGAATATGGCTCTTTTGTTTTCTCTCGTTAGCTAGGAACGATGCCAGCACACGCGGGATTACCAGACGCTCTTTGGTTCTATATCTTGTCCAAGCTACTGGACGTTGAATCGCTAGTTCGAGCGTGCCTTGTTTGCAAGGAATGGAATACGTTTATTCGTGGAGATGGCAGCCAGATCAAGCAGAGGTGTAATTCTCCACTCTTGTTCCTTCATGTGGAATGGAGAAGGCTAGCGTGTTTCAACCCTAAAAGTGGCAAGATTTACAATCCTAACACTTTTTTTTTACCACCTGAACTGTCATTTTCGCCATCAAGCATTCCAGTGGCGAGCTCAAATGGTTGGGTGCTGTGGAGCTACATAGAAGAAGATATGGTCTCTTTGGTGATAAACAATCCCTTGGTACCATCCAGCTCAGTGAAGCTACCACACTGCCGAGGAATAGACAGATTTTGGATTGAACCTGAGAACTTCGCCATGCTCGCGGCAAAAGACGGCAGCAGCTTTTGCTTATCTTTTGTCAACGTTGATAAGATTTATGCGTATGCTTCTGTGGTTGGCCAGAACCAGTGGAAGAAGGTTAATAAGAATCTAAGATGGAGGAGACATAGGATTGCATGGACTGATTTTGAGCACTGCCACATCTTAGGGCAAAACGGTCATTGGGTTTACAAGCCACAAACTGGTGAATGTGTGCTTGTGGGGAAAGTTGAAAGTTTGGAGGTCTATGCGAATGGTTTTGGATTAGTCTCATTGAGAGGAGAGCTCATCACTACGAGATCTGTCAGGAAGTCCATGCGTTTATCACTGGTAAAAAGTGTTGACGGTTTTGTAAAAGAGGAGGTAAAATGGAATTCTGGGGCCGTAGTTATCCATGACGGAAAGAAAGTGTTTGTGTGCTTGGATGATGAATTCTACTTTCTTCCATGGACAAAAGCACAAATGGTGCTTGATTTGAAGACTCAAGTGTGGAGGGTGGAAAAGCTTGTGATGCCAATTAAACTTAAATGGTGCCCACTAATGACCGAAACCGATGAAGCTCGGCCATGGCCAGAAAATTGGCCTACGTCACACACATTAGCATTTGTTCCTAATCCAAAACTTACTTAAATTTGATAAAGTTCTCATTTTCGTCTAGGTTTTTGCCAGCGAAGAGACGAAGATCGATTTGTCGCATGGGCCGTTCAATCGTCACTGTGGTGATTTTGCTCATGAGCTACTCTCTTGGACCTCCTCACGATGGAGTTGCCTTTGTACATTTCGAGTAGCTGGGCAGGACGAGAGCTGGCTCAAGAAATCTATAGATCATAAAAAGACATGAGAAGTGAAAAAAAAAAGAAACCAAACCTGGCAAAACGGATCTACATGGCTACTAGCCAGAGTGATATAGCTATTTTCATCTGAGCTGGGAACTTCCACACTTGCGGGGTGACCAGCAAAGCTGCTGTGTTAGTGGAAAACCATGGAAGAACTTACCGAAAGAGAGCCGATTGCCACAAAGTGTGTTCTTCGATCTTCCTTTCTCAAGAGATTGGAGCTCCTAACCTGTACCTGCCAATGGATCTTAAGTTAAACGACAATCACCACAGTGGAGTAACCGGCGCTTACAAGAGCTTGGACAAGCTTGGCACTCGTTGTCACTTCTCCCTGCGGAAAACTCGACTTAACATTGCTTGATTCAAACATCCAAGCCTTCATAGCTGGGCTGTGTTCCAAAAGATAAGTTTTAATTTATTTATGTTTATCTTCACTTGTAGAGAGGGGATTCGTTAGGCGCGAATCCTTATATCGTTTGAGAATATTCTCTACAATTAAAAGGTTATAAACATGTTAGAAATCCTTTTCTGTACTCTGATGTCAGCAGACGGCGGATTACCAGACGCTCTTTGGTCCTATATCTTGTCCAAGCTACTGGATGTTGAAACGCTAGTTCGAGCGAGCCTTGTCTGCAAGGAATGGAATACATTTATTCGTGGAGATGGCAGCCACATCAAGCAGAGGTGTAATTCCCCGCTCTTGTTCCTTAAAGTGGAGCTAAGAAGGCTGGCGTGCTTCAACCCTAAAAGTGGCAAGCTCTACAATCCCAACACTTTCTTTTTACCACCGGAAGTGTCAGTTTCGCCATCAAGCATTCCAGTGGCGAGCTCAAATGGTTGGGTGTTGTGGAGGTACTACACAGAAGGAAAGACGGTCTCTTTGGTGCTAAACAATCCCTTGGTACCATCCAGCTCAGTGACGCTACCACACTGCCCAGAAGTAAAGCATGATTGGATTGAACCTGAGAACTTCGCCATGCTTGCCGCGAAAGACGGCAGCAGCTTTTGCATATCGTTTGTCGACTTTGACATCTTTTATGCGTATTCTTATGCTGCTGGTGGTGAGAACGAGTGGATAGAAGTTAATGGTCCAAACTGGAGGAGAAATAGGATTGCATGGACTGATTTTGAGCACTGCCACATCTTAGGGGAAAGCGGTCACTGGGTTTACAAGCCTCAAGCTCGTGAATGTGAGCTTGTGGGGACTTTGGAAAGTTTGGACAATTACAAGTATGGTATGTTTGGTTTAGTATTGCTGAGAGGAGAGCTCATGACTGCGAGACCTGTCAAGAATTCTATGCGTTTATCACTGGTAAAAAGTGTTGACGGTTTTGTAAAAGAGGAGGTAAAATGGGATTCTGGGACGGTAGTCATCCAGGACAGGACAAAGAAAGTGTTTGTGTGCTTGGATGATGAGTTCCACTTTATTCCATGGACAAAAGATTTAGTTCTTGATATGAAGACTCAAGTCTGGAGGGTTGAAGAGCTTGTGACGCCAATTAAATATAAATGGTGCCCGCTAATGATGGAAACGGATGAAGCTCGGCCATGGCCGGAATATTGGCATACGTCACACACATTAGCATTTGTTCCTAATCCAAAACTTAATTGAAATGAAGTGGCAATAATTTTCTCAAGAACCCTAAAATATTTTTCAGGTTATCTGGCGCTTAAGAAATCGATCTTTGTCTCCTCGCACCTGATCCTGGCGAAGAGCGCGAGCGCGACTGGGCCTTTCAGATCTCCGATCTCGATGTGAGTGTTTTTCATCCAAATCGAGCGGAAGTGTGGCCTCGCGGCTTTTGGCGCTCGTCCGGCCTGCTCTGGTGCTCGTCACCGGCGATCTCACTGGTAATTTTGGTCTCTCCCACGAACTTTTTCTAAAAAATCCCTTGCATTTCGTTCTAGCTGCCAAGAACAGAGACCTCTCTGTGACAAGGCAAGACGAACAAAACTATGAAGCACGTCTCAAAAGAAAGCCGATTGCCACAAAGTGTGTTCTTCGATCTTCGTGGCAACCATGACAGGTTTGGTGTTCCCAATCGCGAACTGGACTTCTTTTCTCGGTACAGCATCAGCGCAGATATGAATCGTGTCGGTCGATCCTGTTCAAGCGGGAACTGTCACGGTGCATTAACTTGGATCATTGCTTGTGAAACTTACAGTGGAAAACTATTTCTTCTCTGATAGGTTCTTGGTGGCTGGAAGTACTTGTTTCTTGGTTTTGATGATACCATGGCCATCGGGCTTCGCGTGGCCAACAAATCTGTTTGGCGACAGACTCCCTGAAAATGGAGTCCCTGCTCGAAGGCTTTGAAATGAAGCAGTCACGCAGTTCTTCCGCCAAGGTAGCGTTTCGACACTTTCCAATGTCTCTCACGGCCTCTTCAGAATCAGGGAGACGAGGCATGGCATCTCGGCATACTTATCCACACTAAGTTTGGAAAGCAGCTGTATGGGCTTCGGGCGGAGCTCTAGCAGAAAGAACGAGTTTTGGGAGTGGGAAATCGGGGACTGGAGAGCTTTCACTTGATCGTATTCGAGCTGTGTTCTCCAAAGGTGCCGATTACTGCTGTGGCAAAAGTATAAGCTGGTGTGGCGGCGGCTAAAGTCAGTTCCAGTTCCAGGTGATGTTGAATGTCTGTCTCTTTTTCTATAGTTTATTCATCTTTTCGTGGCATTTCTGAACAGCATCTGGACATCGGTGGTGTACGAAGAGTCTCGGGATTATGCGGGACACAGGTGAGCTCTAAGTCGACGTCGGAAATTTCTGTCTTCTTTGATGTGTCGTGCGAAGAATTGGCAGAAACAGATCACCGACGTTGTGCAGTATATTGAAGAGAGGCTTGACGAGGTCTGGAAGAGGTAAGAGCTCCTTGAAATAAATAAGTAAAAACTTATCCTTTGGAACACAGATTCAAGCCCAGGAATGTGCTGAAAAACAGTAAAATGAGGCTACCAGTTCGAATCAAGTAATGTTTAGCCGAGTTTAACTAGTAGCGAGGTGTTCTTGTAAGCGCCGTTTACTCCATTGTGGTGATTGTCGTCTAACTTGACAAGCTCCATTGGCAGGCACAGGGTAGGAGCTTCAATTCATCAAGAAAACGAGTTTGAACGCTTTCTTGCGCTTCTGAGCAACCGGCAGGTTATGTCTTCTTCTTCTGCTACTTATCGACCATACACAGGCGGGTCTAGCTACGGAGTTTGGAAGCGCAAGAGAACAAGACCAATGGCTTCAGATGGACGTTTCAACGTGACTTCTGCACAGGTAAACAACACTTTTTTTTCTTTCTTACTTCGTTTACTCCCGCTTTAGATCGAAGAACCGGAGGAGGCAATCGATCTGGTGAGGTGGCGAGGAATTAACGAGACGAGCCCCAGAAAGTAAGCAGTCTCTAGAGCTGGTCCTAGTGCGTCTAACCACGTAATTCTTTCTGCCAGGAAACTTTGAAGACAGAGGGCACCCTTAGCAAGCAAGTCAAGTTCGACAGTGTCAAGGCAATTACATAGCTGCTTTTGTTTTGCAGGATATTCGGCTCTGTCAGACGTTCCGGAATGGTTTACGATTGTTTGATCTCTACGTACAATTTGCGTTTCCGGTGTTTGGCAGGACTATAATGTGGTGCTTGGCCGAGATCTAGATTGCATCATTCTTTTGAAGGTAAGCTCTTTTTTTTAAAGTTGCGAGACAAATTTCTACCATCACAAAATTCCAGGTGGTATGATCGCTATAGTTTTTAAGCCCAAGTACGTGACAATCGGAAGAGGAGAGTGAGCGGCATAGGTAAGAGTTTGGTAGTTTGGTGTTTCCTCGGTTCGATTTTTTCCTTTGTGTCACTTGAAGTTTGCACGAGCTTGGCGGCAAGGAGAGGCCGTGAAGATGAATGCACTGGAGAAAGGCATGGCTGTTCAAGGATTGGATGCGAGCCGTGAAGATGAATGTATTGGAGACAAGAGGACGCCCATGGCCGAGAACAAATTGCGTAGAATAGAACTTTGACAATGCGGCACCGACGGCACACAAGATTCAACTAGAAATCTACAACAAGCTCACGCAGAGCCTTTTCGGCATCCAGAACAGCACGCTCGAACTTTTCTCCGATCTTCTCCAGTTTTGTTGCTTTGCGCTTCCCGATTTCCCCCATAGCACGAAGCCCCGGTTGCGTGTGAGTGCTCTTCTTCTACTCCCTCATCTCTCATCTCTTCCGTCTCTCTCCCTCTCGTTTCTCTTTCTTTTCCAGGATGGCGGCAGAGGCGATGCGCAATGTTCTGGCGATCAAAGGAGAGCTCCAGCGAATCGCCCGTGTGACTGAAGACGCCATCGGGGACACGCTCACTGGCTTCCGCCTAGACGAATTACGTTAGAGAGCCGCGCAGACAAGAGCCGAGACGTTAGCGAGCCGCTGAAGAGCCGAGACGCCCCAGCTGGCCATTTTATAGAGCAGGATATTGACTTTTGACTGAGGACTGCTTGGACTTTGACGTGATCCCGTAAAGATTTCAGTGACTTTGACTTTGATACGGGCAAAGAAGAACTTAATACAGGGCATTTTTTTTTGTTACTGACAGACGAATGAAATCAGGAAATCCAAATACAAACTATCAGGAAAAGTATTTAAAATGTACATAATTGATGATTAAGAAAGATTAAGCTAAGACATTCCTCAAGTAAGCTTGAAGTAAGTAAACTATATATATATTTGATCCATGCGACGAGCAACGCTCTTGTGAGCAAGACGTTTCAAGAAGCACTAGATGGTGAAGAGATCCTAGAACCGCAGTTCCCAAGTAATTGTATGAAATCCTCAAAAGGCTCAAAAGCAACCATGGCAAGGAGTAGCTAATCTCGGTACTCTTGCTCTGTTAAACACATGATTAGTGAACGTCATGAAGAGTGCCTTAAGTTAAAAATCTATTCATTAAGAAGATTTTATGGGTCAACTTTCAAACATCTCTAACGGAATTCAAAATCCAAGATTTTTATGATGCTTTAGCTGTCGAAAATCTAAAGTCAAAGATATTCAGAGATCCAAGTCAAAGATATTCAAAGGTCAATGGTCAATCTCTCCTGCTTTATAAAATCCGCTACAGCTCGCTATTCTTCTCTTTAAGCGCTGTCTTCTCGGCTGTTCTCTCTTCTCTCCACAAGGTGAGTGTGTTTTTCTTTTCTAGATTCTCCTTCTCGTCTCTCTCTCTCTCTCTGTTTCGTTTCTCTTCTCTGCAGTGAGGATGGCACACAACATTCCAATGGGCAGAGCGATCTAGCTCAAGCGAGACTTGGAGGAACTTCTCCACGGCACCGAGGCGGCTTTCATTCATCCCCACCCTCCGCCAGCTCGATCTCGCCGCAGTCCACAGTTCTATCGACAACGATGAGCAACTCCAGGCCAACGCTCTCCTACACACCAACGCTGCCAATGCCAAGCGCTTTGCCACTCGGGTCCTACAGATCGGCCAGGGTTTCAAGCACGCCATGTACAAGACTGAGATGGCTCTCGATGCTCTGAAGCTGGACTAGAATCCACTAGGGATTGTGGATCCCCAATCTTCCATTCGTGCTTCTTTCTTCTCCCTCGATCGATTTGCACGGGGGTTTCTTTCCCAAATTTTCCAGCTACGAGTTTCATAGCTTAAGATATGGGGCCGGCTCTAGAATAAAATGCCCGCGTAGATCAAGGAGCCCGAGGTGGCAACTTCGCCTACTATGGAGGCCCGGGAGCTATGCCGTGACCCGTCGAGCTCCATTTTATCGAGCACGAATTCTCCTGCACCCACGCTCTCTCACAAAACACAACCCTAAACTCTTTCTCTGAAGACAAACTATAGCTTCTTTAGATTTTTGGATTTGGAACAAATGCTAATGTGTGTGACATGGGCCAATCTTTCGGCCATGGCTGAGCTTCATCGGTTTCTTTCATTAGAGGGCACCATTTAAACTTGATTGGTGTCACAAGCTTTTCAACCTTCCACACTCCAGTCTTCAAATCAAGCACCGTTAGTTTCCATGGAACGTGGTGGAACTCATTATCCAAGCAAATAAACACTTTCTTTCTCCTATATGGGATAGTTTCAGCACAAACCCATTTTTCCTCCTCTTTTACAAACCCGTCAACACTTTTTACCAGTGATAAACGCATGGGCCCGTTCATGAATCTCACGGTGACGAGCTCTCCTCTCAACGAGACTAATCCAAAAGCACCATACTCGTAATCCTCCAAGCTTTCCAATTTCCCCACAAGCACACATTCATCATTTTGGGGCTTGTAAACCCAGTGACCGCTTTCCCCTAAGATGTGGCAGTGCTCAAAATTAGTCCATGCAACCCTATGTCCCTTATATCTTCCATTCCCGACCGTTCTCCACTCGTTCTGATCATGATCATGACCACCCGCAGTATAAGCATACGCATTAATGGTACCAAAGAGGACAAAAGATATGCAAAAGCTGCTGCCGTCTTTGGCCGCAAGCATGGCGAAGTTCTCAGGTTGAATCCAATCCTCCAACTGAACGTCATGGCAGTGTGGCAGCGCCACTGAGCTGGATCGTACCAAGGGATTGTTTATCACCAGAGAGACCATATCTTCCTCTGTGTAGTACCTCCACAACACCCAACCATTGGAGCTAGCGACTGGAATGCTGGATAATGAAACTGATACCTCAGGTGGCAGAAAAAAGGTGTTGGGATCGTAGAGCTGGCCACTTTGAGGATTGAAGCATGCCAGCCTTCGAAGTTCCACTTTAAGAAACAAGAGTGGAGATTTACACCTTTGCTTGATATCGTTGCCCTCGCTACGAACAAACCCGTTCCATTCCCTGCAAACAAGGGATGCTCGAACCAGTGATTCAACATCCAGCAGCTTGGACAAGATATAAAACCAAAGAACGTCTGGTAATCCCGTGTGTGGTGGCATCGTTCCACTAATGAGAGTGACTACAAGAGTTGATTATGTATACAATACAAAGAGGTACAAGAACCATATTTGGTGTTTGCCTTTAATCTATAATAATAAGAACGAAGAGCCCAGACCCCCGCAGCCGTCCGATCCCGGGCCCGGGGCAGCCTCGGAAGCCATGGTTCTTGGGAAGGGGAGACCAGCCCAGGCTCGGACCAGGGCCGGTGGCCATGGTTAGCGGGAATATCGGCTCAATGTTGTGGCGGCCAATGGGCGGGATGCATGCGTGGCCGGGAAGGGAAGAGGGTGTGTATGCCATGCACTCTTAGGGCTCCATGGCTGCTCTACTCGGACACGGTTGTGTGGGCATTCCCGTGAGAGCCGTGGTAAGTAACAGGGGCGAGTAGAATGGTAGTCGGGCACACAATCGAGGCTCCTCTCGGGATCAACTCAGGATTGTGAGAGGCAAATTGGCTCATCTCCAACTCAGCAAAGCTTTGATCCCTGTTCGCCACCGCCTCACGAGCTCTTTGGCCTACAAGAAAGCAATTATCAAGGACACTCCCTCTTCATCCCCGGATTCTCTCGAGGAATCCCTTGCTGCTGGGCCTGGTGAGGGATTTTTGTTTCAGCACATGCTCGGGATCAACTCCGTTTGTAGGAACCAGGTGTTTCGAGTTGACGTAGGGCTGTCGAGTGGCTGTGCCAGCCAACACTGCTCCTGAAGTTTTGGAAATCCGACACAGCACTGATGTCTGGGTTCTCTTGAAAGAGAAGGAGAAGCAGAAGGCGCCACCGCAAGCATCGCGTGGTTTAGCTTCGTTTTTAGATCGAGGTAAGTCGTAAGTTTGAATATCTTTGTATTCTATGATGAGATTTTTTTTCTGTCTGATACTACTTCTGTCGAATCTAAAATTTAGTTCCAGTTTCCGAGAGTTTGAGGGCTGGTTTCAACGATGCTGTGCTAGGATGCTGTGCCAGGTAACCTGATGCTGGCGTAGGAGCAGCACTTGGGGCTGCAGCTCAAAATTGCAAAGCTGTGGATTATGAGGCAGAGATTGGTAAACACAACAGTGGAGTTATTTTGTTGTTCTTGAGTGTGCTTCGCAAAAGTCTAATATTTTCCTTTCAGATCATTACATAGTTGTGAAATTTATATATATCCAACTGTAGTCTGCATTTCTATTCTGCATAAACTTCTATACAAACTCAATTAAAAATATATATATATAATCAAACCTATAATCGAAGTGACTGAAAATGCCTTGCCTCTGCCATCGTTTGAGAACCATACGACATAGTAAACAATCTAATGGAGATTTAGATGCCTCTGAAACTATGATTGACCATGATACACATACTATAGCTGTTCAAAATAATCATGATAATGATTCTATATACCAAAATATTAATCATGATAATGATTATATACAGCAATCAATTGGACAGTTAGAAGCATCTGGAACCTTACATGCACGTTATTATGATGATTATATATATCAAGCAATATTAAATCTACCACTCCCACCCATGAATACCACACTAGCAAGCCATAGCATTTATAATGACTTTAACATAATAAATTTTAATATTGGTAGTTTATCATTTGTTTGTACTTTTTGTAATGCATTGCATTTTAAAGATGAAAACTCTTCAATGTGTTGCTAGAATAACCAAGTTATATTACCTCCAATTTCACCTTTACCATTTGATTTACTTTCACTTTACAAGCAAAATAAGAACTCTAATTTTAAAACAAATATTAGACACTACAATAGTGCTCTTGCTTTTGCATCTATGTCTTCTAATATTAATATTGTAAAAGGTCATGGTCTTTATTGCTTTAAAATCCATGGTCAAATATATCATAATATTGTTTCAGCACATCCTTCTGAAGGTCAATATTGAACCTATGGACAACTTTATATGCTTGATACTCTAGAAGCTATAGATATAAGAAAGCAAAACCCTTTTAATTCAAGCCGTGAGACAAACTTACTTAAACATCTTGATGCTCTCCTTTGTCATGTTAACCCATATGCTCAAGCTTTCAAAATGATGTATGAAATGGAACAAGAAGAAATTTTTTTTGCTACACTTTTAGGTTATCTTATATGTGGTGTTTACATGTTATTAAAAACTGAAGGAACTAATCCACAACGCTATAATGCTCCACGGACAAATGATGCTGTTGTGTTTGTTAGTGATGATGGAGAACCGCCACATAGTCGTGAAATTTGTATATATCCAACTGTAAGCAATTCTAAATGTATCTCAACACTTGATTATAATTGTGATCCAATGGTTTACCCATTAATATTTCCTTTTGGTGACAAAGGTTGGCATAAAAATATTTTTAATTCCAGATGTTGAATTACATTACTCCAATATTATGCATACCATTTATCTATAAGAGACACAATACACTTTGGTTTTAATTTAATTTTACATGCAGAAAGACTCACACAACAATATATAGTTGATGCTTATGTAAAAGTTGAAAGCAATAATTTGAATTACTATCGCACTCATTAGAAACAATTGCAAGTTGAAATGTATACTGATCTTATGGATTATGGTGCAAACTGTGCTATTAATGAAAATATAAATCCAGGCAAGATTGTTATTTTACCTTCAAGTTTTGGGGGTGGCCCTAGAGCAATACAACAAAATTATCAAGATGCAATAGCTATAGTTACTCATTTTTCAAAGCCAAATCTTTTCATTACTTTTACATGCAATGCTAAATGGCTAAAACTTACATCCAAATGAAGGCACTGAGGATCGTCCAAACTTGGTTTCTAGAGCATTTCATATCAAGCTTAAAGAATTTTTGAATGATATTACTAAAAAATATATTTTTGGAAATTGTATTGCTTTTATATATGTAATTGAATTTCAAAAAAGAGGCCTTCCACATTGTCACTTTCTAGGGATTTTATCTTATGAAAACAAGATTAAAGACCATGATGTTATTGACCAATATATAACGGCACAATTGCTTGATCCTCAAAATGAACTTGAAATTTCTAAAATAATTACATCTCATATGATACATGATCCATGTGAGCCTCTTTATTCTAATAGTCTTTGCATGAAAAATGGCACTTGCTCAAAAGGTTATCAGAAAAAATTTAATTACAAAATTACTTTTAGTGTTGATGGATATCCAAATTATTATAGACCTGATAATAGCTGTATATATATAAAAAGTGGGTGTTATATTGATAATCGTTGGGTAGTGCCTTATAATAAATACCTTTGTAAAAAATATAATGCTCATATTAATATTGAAATTTGTGCTACTATAAAAAGTATTAAATATTTATTTCAATATTTTATAAAGCACGTTATGAATCTGCTCTAAAGGCAATATAGAGACTTTTTAAATTTAAAATGCATAGTCGTTCGATCCCTATAATCCGTATCCATTTTCCAAAATTTCAAAATGTTTATTTTATAGAAGGTTCTGAACAAATGACACTTCAAAGAGCTATGATGTTGACAAAATAGTTTGAATTAAATATAAATGACCCAAATGCTAGACAATATACATATCCTGAGATCCCTTTATATTATACATTTAACGCTCATACTCATAACTAGCAAATTTGACATACAAGAAATGTCATTCCCCGAATATATTCTATGTCTCTATCTAATGTTGAACTATATCATTTACGTCTTATTTTACTCCATAAAAAAGGTGTTACATCTTTCAAAGATCTCAATACAGTTAACAATATTTATTATGACACGTTTCAACAAGTTGCAAATGCAATGGGGATTATAGCTGATGATACCAAATGGGAAAAATGTTTAGAAGATGCTTACTTTTTTAAAATACCATCACAATTAAGACAATTATTTGTATTACTTTGTATCTTTTGCACTCCAAAAGATCCTTACTTCTTATGGGATAAATTTAAAGACTTCCTCTTTGAGGATTTCATGCAAAAAAATCTAATTTTTCATTATGAACATGCTTTACATGATATAAATATTAAAATGAAAATGCATGGCAAAATTAATCAAAACTACTATCTACCTTTACGTTTGAAAATTTTGATGATGAAAATATTGTCAACTCAACATAAATATATCAAAATGTTGAACAAAATATTCCTCGATTTAATCAAGAACAGTTAAATATTTTTAATGATATTCTTAATGTTATTGATCACCCAACTGAGCATAATCGATACATTTTCATTGATGGCCCTGGTGGTACTGGTAAAATATTTCTTCTTAACATTCTTATAAATATTTTACAACTGAAAAAAATAAATGTTGTTAGCATGGTTTGGACAGTAATTACAAGTACTTTACTTTATAATGGCCGAATTTTACATACTACTTTTAAACCTCCTGTTCCAATAAATGAAACATCAACTTCCACTATAACTGTTAATAGTGAAGTAGGTATAAAAATCAAAACTACTAACATATTGTTATGGGATGAAATAAATATGGTTCACACTCATGCATTCACTACTGTTAATCGAGTGTTGTGAGACCTAAAAAATACATTATTACCTTTTGGTGGCATAATTGTTGTCATTAGCGGGGACTTTAAACAAACACTTCCAATCATTCCACATGGACATGGGGCATAAATTATTTCAAGTTCTATAAGAATGAATAAATTATGGGGATTATTGAGAAAGTTATCTTTGAAAACAAATATGCAACTTGCTAAAAGTGATAAATCATGGTTTGAATGGCTTCTCAAAATTGGAAATGGTGAAAATTTTAAAAATTTACCATCTTTATCCCACATATCACACTAATACCATTAAATACATAAATTCCATTCAAAATGTTCAGATGATAATTTCCAATTCGTTTGGGTTACTATTTAACAAATTCCAAATGCCAAAGACAGACATTTAACTAAGTTAGAGTTTACTTGCCCCACCCAATTTTCACTCATGGGCAACTTTATGTGGCTTTATCAAGATGCATATCACCACGTGGATTTGGAATTAAAGTTCAAAACACCACATGCTAAAGCCACTTCCTTCCCCAAGATCTTTCTATTTTTACAATTAACATTGTTTATAAAAAAGTTTTATATTGAACCTCTTTGTAAACCACCCAGCATTTGTTGGGCAAGTACTCGTTTAATAATGTTTTTGATTTTTCATGGCATTCGCACAAATGTAAGAAAAAGAGAGAGATGAAAATTCTTCCAGAATTGACTGTATAGACATAAGAAATCCCGAGACTTGGGTAGGTAGGGTAGGGCGACACTCCAAATCGAGGGCGAGAGTAGAATGTCTTTGTGATGCGGCTTCCCAGGATCACTGCTCCGCAGGCCACAATCAGGGCGTGGCTCGGCTCTCATGGTGTGTCGCCCGCCATGGATTCCTCCGATTCCTTCTCCGCAGCCTGGAGGCCGTGCTTGCTCGCCAGGGAGGGCTTCGGCAACTCAAGGTGAAATTTTCTTCCATTTTGCACGAGTTTTTAGTTGCTTAGTTTTTTTTTTCTTTTCCAGTAGTGATGATTCACAGTGGAGGCCGTCACAAAGGGGACTGTACCAATCCTTCAGCTTTCCATCTTCTTCAGCGAGCGAGCAAGGGTTCTGGGCTTCTTCCGGAGGCTTGTTTCGCTCTTCCAGCCGCTATTTCAGCACGGAGCGTCCAAAGCCAAGGGTAACTTTTAACTTATATCTCGATGTTTCTTTTTCTACGCTTCATGTCGTTTTGTTTGAAAATGTAGATATTTGGTAGCATGCCAGAGTTTGTGAAGATCGTCGAGGTCGGGCCTCGAGACGGGCTGCAAAACGAAAAGAAGATTGTTCCAACTCACATCAAAGTTGAGCTTATACGAAAGCTCTGTGCTTCCGGCCTCCAAGTCGTCGAGGCCACCAGCTTTGTCTCGCCCAAATGGGTTCCACAGGTAACAAATTTCCAGTTTGTTGCCAGTTTGTTGTAAACGACATGAAAACTTCCTTTTGTTGTAGCTCTCGGATGCCAAGGAGGTTTTGCATGCCATCAAAGCTCTCCAAGGGAGCAAGTTTCCAGTCCTCACGCCAAACGTCAAGGTACTCTTGATTTCTTTCTTTCTTTCTTTCTTTCTTTCGCTTAGAATAAGGTCTAGTAGCATCCATGCTGCACCTCAGGGTTTTCAAGCAGCACTGGATGCTGGAGCAAGAGACGTAGCAGTTTTCGCAGCAGCCTCCGAGTCATTCTCCAAGGCAAACATAAATTGCACCATCAGCGAGAGCCTGGAGCGCTACAAACAGGTCTGTGATCTAGCAAAGCAGCACGGCATCTCTGTCCGAGGGTAAGCTAAGAGGCTCGTTTTATCTTTCACAAAAAAAAAGAGAGAACGAATTCTGCTTTCATTTTTTCTCACTGCATATCATTCCTTCTTCAAGGTACATCTCTTGTGTTGTAGGCTGCCCGATCGAAGGCCCGGTTCCTCCCCACAAAGTTGGATACGTTGCTGGCGAGCTCTACCGAATGGGTTGCAGCGAAATCTCTCTGGGTGATACGATTGGCGTTGGAACCCCGGGTAAGGAAAAATCACTCTTTTATTATCTAAAGCTTGGAACGATTGGCAGGAACTTTGGTGCCGATGCTCGAGGCAGTAATGTCCGTCGTTCCAGTGGAGAATCTAGCCGTACACATGCACGACACGTATGGTCAAGCCTTGTCCAATATCCTCGTAGCTTTACAAGTGAGTGATCAATTCACTCTTCGCTTTTTTCTCGTTTCTTCTCGAGTAGGGAATGAGCTCTGTGGATTTGTTTTAGATGGGAGTGAGCACCGTGGATTCGTCCGTGTCAGGGCTCGGTGGCTGCCCCTACGCGAAAGGCGCGTCTGGGAACGTAGCGACGGAGGACGTGATCTATCTTCTAAACGGGCTGGGCGTCTCCACAAACGTGGACTTGAGCTTGGTTCTCGCTGCTGGAGAGTTTATCTCGCAGCACCTGGGGCGCCAGTCGGGCTCCAAGACCGCTGTGGCTCTGGGCAAGTCTAGCAGATGCGAGCACTCCAAGATCTAACCATTCGAGAACATGTACAGAATATAATTATTGAAGATCGTCTCACCTGAGATGAATGAAAGAAAATATTACTATAGCAGCACACCATATATATATATATATATATTGAGAGAGAGAGAGAGAGAGAGCCATCTTGTAGGCATTCTTTGCTTGGTTTTCTTGCTCTTGACAATGAAGTTTGTGATGTTTCTTTTAATGCTGGCAGCGATCTTTCTTGTGGCAGCCATGGTGATTGAGGGAGCGCATGAGGAAGCCAAATGTTACAGGAGGTATACCTGCTTTTTTGGTGGCCTCAAGTGCAAGGACTACTGTAAGCTTTGCCACTTTGTGAGCCACGGCGAGCACTGCGAGAGGTGCCACTCTGGAAGCTGCTCCTATGGTCGATGCACTTGCAAGGGACCTTGCAGCAGCTCCAATTGCCCCGTCTATGCTTGATAGATCCATCCTTCGATCGGAGCTTCGATCGTGCCAGTAAACTCATCATCAATAAAAACAGTTCACTCGTAAGTCTTTCAGGGACGTTTTGTTCCTTCTAGAGAACATAACGCTTGCTAAGACGACAATTACTCCTTTTATTAATCTAGATTACTCCTCTCTAAAAGCAGGACGATATACCGTTTTAATCTAAGCTCGCTTTATAATACCGTTTTAATCTAAGACCACTTTACAGATTCCCGGCTCGCTTGGCTTAGCATTTTTGATATTTTGTTAACGTGTTACTTACTATAAAATGAAAGAATTATGTGATCACTTAGTAGCCGGCAGTCTCAGGATGAAGAAAGGAATTGTTATAATTCTATGTTTGGTGCTAGCAATGGCAGTCAATGCTCAAGACTGTTATAATTTTTATTCCTGCCCACAGGACCCTGCAATTAAATCACACTGCCACACATTTTGCAAGATGTGCCACTTTAACAACGAAGGAAACAATTGTGAGATCTGTAAGAGCGGCTCTTGCAATGATATCAAGAGATGCATTTGTGATGATTGTCAAGTTGTTAACTGTTAAGATAATACTGGAGTACGTATTAATATTGGTGTTTTTTGTGTGGATTGGTTTTCTAAATGTATAATACAAATTGAGAAGCTTTGCTTTGTACTTCTTATTAAATAATTTCAATTGGTGAATTATTAAAATAGAATCTTTTATGATAGCAAAAGAGAAACAGATAAAACTAAGTATAATAAACCAATTTAATTAAATTTATATTTAAACTAACTATAGCTGATAAAAATATATAAAAAAGAAATTCCTAAAGGTAAATATTATAGATAAACTTAAGCAATAAGTTTTTCTTTCCATAACCTCAAACTATAACCAAAATAAATCACCAAAACGCAGATTTTGTAGGGTTTAAGCAAAGCAAATGGCAACAGATCCAGCAGACACTCGCAAGCAATGGCTGCTCTCCAGGGACGAATGCAGGTGCTGCTGCTCTTCCACACGACCCAAAATCCTTCTCTCCATCGCGGCTCTCGCTCTTCTTGTCACTGCAGCAGTGGTGATTGGAGCGAGCGTTGGAGCAACTCGAGCATCCGCCAGGAATCACCGCCACAAGAAGAGCTCCAATGCGGCCACATTCGACGAGAATTACAACATCTCCTGGTCGGGAGATCACGTCCGGCTTCTCAACGGCGGCCTGCTCGCGGACATTCTGCTCGACAAGCAATCCGGTAAGAGAAACTCTGTTATTTCATGAATTTCCTTCCTTTGTGATCGATCTGTGCGTGATCTCCTAGGGGCCGAATTCGGATCTAAGAGATCCTATCTCTTTGGCCATCTCAAGATGCAAATGAAGCTCGTCGCCAATGACTCGGCTGGAACAGTAACAGCTTTCTATGTAAGCATCAAGTTTTCTTCCAAGATCTCCGTCAGTGTCTTCCAAGAACATTGGATCTAATACAGTTTCTCGATCGATTTGACTCGTCCAGATGGCGTCACACACGGAGAATCGCGACGAGTTCGACTTTGAGTTCTTGGGCAACAGATCCGGGCAGCCATACGCGCTCCAGACGAACATCTATGTCAATGGAACCGGTGGAAGAGAGCAGCGAATCCTACTGTGGTTTGATCCAAGCCTCGATTATCACACGTACTCTGTTCTCTGGAACCAGTACCAAGTCATGTAAGAGAAATCTTTTCCTTGCTTTTGCCAGAAGTTCTTTCACTCTTGGAAGCAAAGCGCTAGAAATTTTAACTTACTTTGGTTCTTTCCTTCTTTTTGGAGCAGATTTTTCGTCGACGACACTCCAGTGCGAGTCTTTCGGAACAACAGCCACCTCGGAGTCCCCTACGCGTTTAGCCAGCCAATGCGGATCTTTGGGAGTATGTGGAACGGAGAGCAATGGGCCACAGTTGGCGGCCTCGAGAAAACCAACTGGAACTACGCACCTTTCATCGCTTCCTTCCAAGACTTTGCCATCGATGGCTGCGACCCCTCCTCGTCTCCTGGTGATCCTGGATTTTGTTTTAGCTCTGGGAATCGAAATCACTGGTGGGATGAGGAAAAGTACCGTGTTTTGGACGTTGGTCAGCTGGATAATCTCGGCTCCATCGTGAGAAACTACACCATATACGACTACTGCACTGATACCAAGCGCTATTCACCAGTTCCTCCAGAGTGCGGTGCCAATCCCTGACTTGACTTTGCTTGGAACTCAGAAACATCGACGACTCGGAGCTTAGGACGAACAATAATTTGTCTTAGAGGACATACCATTTTTTGAGACACCGTGACGAATTTCACGTTGTGTGTAATGTTCTTTACATTGGATTCTTTTTTTCCCTGATTGTATTCTTTATGAGGCAGTGACTCCAGCACTGCAAACAGGGCAAGTCTGCAGGAAAACAAACTTCACGGATCAGAGACACGGATGAAAGAAAAGAAACAACTTGCCTTGTTAATCTGAAGCCATTGCTGGATACACTCGGAGTGATACTTGTGCTTGCAAGGCAATGTCAACAGCATCTCGTCTTCCTCGTAATCGTGTCGACAAATCACACACCTAAGTGATCCCAGTTTAGACTAGAAGTTACTCAAGAAATCAAAAATCTTTGTACGTACTGCTCACTGTCACTGCTGGTGCTGCCTCCGGTATGACCACGCTTGTAGGATGTTACTGGAAGCTCGGCTATGGCATCCGAAGAGAGCCCTCGACTTTCTACTCCGACAGCATCACCAAGCGCCACGAGCTCCTGTGGAAGGAAAAAGAAACTTAAGAATACAGGATGAAACGAAAGAGGGAATGTTACCTCGTAAGACATATGGTCTGGATCAACATCTTGCCACTCCTGCCACGAGAATCTTAACTTTTCGCAAAATAAACAAAAAGCTCTACATACCTGTGATTCATCACTGCCATCCTCCTCTTCCTCCTCTTCTTCTTCTTCTTCCTCGTCATCTTCGTCTTCATCCTCATCATCTTCCTCGTCGTCTTCATGTACATCCACATCGTCCTCATCCACTTCTTCGTCATCTTCCTCTCCTTCCTCATCCTCCTCTTCTTCACCATCGTCTCCCACTGCCATTTCCCACTCATCTCAGCACCAAAACAAGATGAGTGGAAAGCAATCGAAACTCACAGTCATGGATTCCGGCGAGCGCCATCATACGAGCCGCGTGCTCGCGCTCCTCATTCTCCTGCAAAGCCCTGGCAAACGCCTCATCACTTTCGTACTGGGAGCCATCCATGGTGGTCGTCCTGTTGTCAGCGTTTAATCCAGGAGCCTGGACTCGAACATCGCTCTCCTCCTCACCATCCTCGTCGGAGTCATCCTCGTAGCCATGATAGTAAGCCCCTCCATTTCTCAAAAGCATGTAAGCTCTTTCCTAGGCCAGAAGAACAATCCCATACATCGCAAAGAGAATCAGAGAAGCCCAGAGGATCACAAAAAAGAGACAAAGCCCACTTACTTGTTCCTGGAGCGTTCGCGCAAGAACCAAATCGGATTCTATCTGGCTCAGCTGCGTAAAAGGCTGCCGAGCTCGCGCATTGTTGTTCCCAGCAGCGGCTCCGCCCGGCGCCGCCACTCCAGCTGACGCGGGCGCTGCCGCCGCCGCTGCTGCCGCCGCTGGCGCCGAGGAAGCACTGGATTGAGAATCGATCTGCTTTTGCTCCTTGTTCTCCTTGGCACTCTCCTCGGAGCCGGAGGAGCGCGTCTCGCCCTTCATCGCTGCTACAACCCTAAATTCGCTCTCCAACCTAAACACGCCAGCCAAGAAGAGATCTCCATCTACACTTGCCAATTCCATTCCATTTTATTTTCCATGCTAAGTAAGAGATAATCGAAAGCCCTAATCCAAGCCACTGAAAGCTTGTAGGACAATTCAATTTATTTTGACAATTTACATTCAAAGATTGACTCGACCAGAAATTGACAAATTCAATTTATCTTGACAATTTATTTACAAATTATTTACAGATTTTCTTCCTGAGTCTCAACTTTTGGCGAAGATCTCTCTCTTTTTGTTGCCTGAGAGCCCTGGATTTGATGGTGATAATCTTCCGATTTGATGCTGCTGCTGCATCGACAGACAATTTGCTCATGGCAGCAGCCAGCCTTCGCATCTTCCTGTGCCTCTCCACCAGCCGCGGGCTCTTCCTCTGCGGGATCTCACTGCGAACTCCATTCTTTGCCTTGGAACTCTTGCGATTCTTCTCACTAGCAGCCGCCATCACCATGCACAAGGAAATAGATAAACCACGCAGACCAAAGGGAAGTGAAGCTTGATGTGGTTGGTAAACCTAGCACGCAAATATATACACCGGGTTTAAGCTTGTATGCAACGCTTTTTCATAGCTTAAGTCATAAGTACCCAAACTATTCCTTTAAACTTTGTTACTTCCTTTAATTTCTTTACTTCCTTTAGACTTCTTTCTCGTTTGATCATCACCAGAAGTTGGCACAGGAGCACTTGCCATCGCCAAAGACGTGAAACCTGCTTGAATCTCTGCAGAGTATACGTCTCGCTTCCATGGCGGAGACCGCGCAGAAGACGAGATGGCAGTCATCACAAACCCGGAGGTTCTTTATGATGCGCACTGTTCCTCCCGGACGAGTGTTCAGCAGCGCACACGCAAGAGCCAGCTTCTCGCTGTGTCCACAGAGCGCGTCCTCCTTTGCCTCGTCACAAATGTTGTGGTGGGAGACGCTAGCGAGATGAGCGACGTAGCCGGCTTCTTTCTTGATCCTCGCCATGGTTTTCTTGAGCAAAGCTTTGATCTCCTCCCCTTGAGGATAATGGCTTGTATCACCCGCACTGAACCTGTGAACTACGCCTCTAGGATCTGTCCACCAGCTCTGTCCCTGCCGTCGTAAAACCCGAGCACTCGTTCTCATCGTCTCGATCTTAGATTGCTCCTCCCACATTCCCAAGCTTCCATAGATGCTTCCCATGAGCATGTAGCCTGCGACGTCCCGGTCGTCCAGCTCCATCAGGGACTCAAAGGCCAGCTTCCCAACTTCCAAGTTCTTCCACTTCTTGCATGCCCCCAAGAGCGTCATCCAGGCCACGGGAGTTTTCCTGTAAGGCATGGCTTTGACCATATCCAGCGCCTCGCTGAGCTTGTTTGTTCGTGCCAAAGTATCTATCATGCAGTGGTAGTGCTCGATACCAGGCTCGATCGAGTACCTGGACCGCATGGCTTCAAAGTAGCGTCTTCCTCTCTCGACTAGACCAGCATGGCTGCACGCTGTTAACAGGCAAAGAAACGTTATACCGTCCGGAAGTACGTTCTCTTCCTGCATCGCTTGAAAGAGCTGGAATGCGTACCTGGTATTTCCTTGGCGGCTGTAGCCGGCCAGCAACGCAGTCCAGGCTATGGTACTCCGCACGTCCGTGGAGACGAAGCTTTCTTCCGCTTCATCTACGTTGCCGCATTTCCCAAAAAGGTCCACGATGCCAGTGCTCACGGCGTGCTCCTTTTCGACCCCAGCTTTATAGATCTCTCCACATACAAATTTCCCAGCTTCCAAAGCTGCAACTCCCGCACAGGCCTTGAGTACTGCTATGAAAGTTACCGAGTCCGGAGTGCAGCCATCCTCCCGCATTCTCATGAAGAGCTCCAAAGATGAGCCGGCTTCACCGCTTTCAACATATCCCAGGATCAGGGCGTTCCAAGTGACCAGACAGCGAACGGGGAGCTTGTCAAACACGCTCTGAGCTTGTGCCAGGCCTCCACAGTTCGTGTACATGTCGATCAAGCTGCTGGCTATGAAATTGTCTGTCTCGTAATCATAAGAAGCAGCTTGAGAGTGAATAGCGCTCCCCTTCTCCAGCACACCTTGTTTAGCAGCCTTTCCGTCGAGCTGAGTGGCATCCTCGTTCGCAGCAAGCCAAGCGCAAGCCTTGAGTGCAACGAGAAAGGTGACACGATTTGGAGAACACAGAGCTTCTTGCTGCATGAGCTCGAAGAGCCTCAAACCCAATCCTGCCTTCCCGTTTTCCACGTATCCCATCAGCAACGAGTTCCAAGATACCACAGTCTGCCACCTTGTCCTGTCGAAAGCTCTTCGAGCATCCAGAATGCTTCCACAGCTCGCATACATATCCACCAGACTGTTCCCGACAAACGTATCGAGCTCGCATCCAATCTTCAGCGCCTCAGAGTGAACAGCCATGCCTTTCTCCAAGGCATTCATCTTCACAGCCTCTCCTTCAACCAGCCTTCCATCTTCCTTCGCCGCCAAGCTCGCGCAAGCTTTAAGTGCCGCGAGGATCGTAACTCGGTTTGGCTCACAGATCCCTTCTGCTCGCATCGAGTCCAAAAGTTCCAGAGCTAGATCACCACCGCCATTCTCCGCGTACCCGAGCATCAGTGCGTTCCACGAGACAACACTGCGAGTGACCATCTTATCGAAAACCTGGCGAGCCATTCTCAAGCTTCCACACTTGGCAAACATGTCGATGGCACAGTTCTCCACGAAAGTATCCCTGTCGTAGCCAGCTTTCGCTGCCCTGGAGAAGATCTCCAAGCCTTTCTCCAGACACTCTACCTTGACGACCTTTCCATCTACGAGCTTTCCATCCTCCTTGGCCGAGAGCAACGAGCAGGCCTTGATAGCAGCCACAAAAGCTCGAGAGTTTGGCAAGCATCCTGTAAATTCCATCCTATGGAACAAATCCAAGCTCTCCTCAGCTTGCCCGTTCTCGGCATAGCCCAGCATCAGTGCCGTCCAGGACACCACATTCGGAGAAGAAATGTGCTCGAAGACGCTGCGAGCATCGGCCATGCTTCCAGATTTCGCGTACATGTCGACTAGAGTGCTGGCGATGTAGATGTCGGCGATCATCCCACTCTGGATTGCGTGATCGTGCATCTTCCTCCCGAAATCGAGCTCCTCTGTGCTGGCGCATGCCTTCAATCCGGCAAGAAGCGCACTGGCACTCTCCGGCTCGCATCGCTGCTGCTGGATATTTCTTGTTCCAATGCGATAGCTCCGAAAGAAGGACGACTTACATGATCTGCTGATGAGACGGCAACGCCAGAGCATGAGATCGGGGTCATCGCGGCCATCTCAAGCGCATTCTCTCAAGAACCCTAAAATATGTAGGTCCATTTTCCTTCCAGATGCCGCGATTGAAGTGTTCTTTGAGATACTTTGGAACTGTCTTCCAGCTCAGCATCACCGGCAGGGAAAAAAAGTCCGGGGAACTTGGAATGGAGTCTCATAGTCTCATTTCCGGCAGCGAAGGTGCTAATGAAGTCTAGTCATTGCAGAATCTTGGAAGAACAGCGCAAACGTTTTTGTAGATTCCTTTTCTCTTTCTTATTTTCCTGTCTCTTGTCCAGGCCAAGTCGAAAACTATGGTTTCCCAATCGCGAGCTGGACTTCATCGCGGATATGAATCGAGTCGATCCTGTGAAAGCGGCAAGTAGTTGAAACTAATTTGCTCCAAGAGAGCTCGCGACGAGCAAAGCATGGAGATCGATTCGGCTACGTACGCATCACTTTCGCTGGCTTTCTCGAAAGTGAGCCACGGGCCGAGAGGCTATGGCGCTTCCAGCAGCAGCGACGAAGGAATGCAAGCGTCCTCACAAAATCGAGCATGTACGTGAGGTATGGCTACATCGGACGAGCCTCGCTGGGTGTTTGATGCCATGGAGCACCACGATGTTTTTCTCTGGACAGCTCTCAAGCACGGCTACTCCAAGAACGGCCAGGGAGAAGTGACTTTGGAGCGCTTCTCGCAGATTTTCTCTGGACAGCGCTCATGCTCGCCAACTCCAAGAATGGCCAGGGAGACGTGACTTTGGAGCTGATGCTGCTACTCGCAAGGCAGCGCTGTCTGAATTCTCGTGCTCAAGGTCCTTTCTAGCTTGGCTGCAAAGGCAGGAAAATCAGTGGAAAAGTGGTGAAGAGAAGAAGAGTCATTTCACATCGAGAGATTTGGATAACTTTGTGAAGAGCTTGGAACTTTGAAACAAAGTTGCTTAGGCTCAGAGTATATGAGGGATATCCCCGCTCTAAGTTCTCTTTGCTTTTTAACAGCCTATTGATTTGAAATCAGTTCAACCGGAGATAGGGTTTCATGGTTGGCATGTTGTGGTAATTTTCTTATTGTCTAAATTAGTTCTTGATTTTTCTTCTATATTGTGCAACATGAGCATGAATAAAAAAAAGAGAAATTTTGGTGGAGGGAGAAGACCAAGAACAACAAAAAAGAACTTGCATGCAATAAGATAAAAATGCAAAGGATATAGTTTTATATTAAATTAGTTACTTGTCTTTGGATAAGCTAAAAACTAACCACTATTTGCAAATAGATGTCCAGAAAAATGATGAAATAAAGAAGGAAATGTTGCTAAAAAAATTCTTCAAAAGGCATAAAAACCAAATTGTCAAAGAGAATGACAAGGAAGAGTAAGAAGTTGCTGTTGCACCTGAGCAAAAGAAGAAGGATAAAAACTTGTAGTTAAAAATGGAGAATGAAGTTATAGATGAGAAAGTAAATGATTAGGTAGTCTTTAAGCCAAATGAAAAACTAAAAACTAATTGTTAAATGTAGGAAAATGCAAAATGCAAAAAGAACAAATGTAACTTAGATGAGTTAGGATATTTTGAAGTTCTATTCTAGCTTAGATTTTTTCATATGGGAAGTGCTTCTACAAAATATCAAAGTTTATAACTAAATTTATAATAAGTTCTTCAAAGAAAAGTTTAAGAAAACTGATATATACATAAGCATTTTGAGCTATGTTCGAAAAGTAGTCTATAAGGTTTATCCATTATAAAGAGATAACTGTCAAGAAGCTAAAG